AGGATCTGAAAACAATGTACAGGTCTACAATCTAGTAACAGTTATATTATAGTTTTTCTTTGGAAACATAAGTTTTTCTTTTCACACTGATTTTATAGGAATCTTAAATTTAAAACCTTTTGAGTTGAGGAAGCCAAACCAAGGCAAACTTCAGATTTCATTTACAGTCTTAGTGTCCTTGGGCATGCCTGGAAGTAGCAATTTTGACTCACTTACTCTAAGCTTGGGAACTCTTGAAGCCAGGCATTTTATGTACATTCTTAAATATGACATTTCAGTCAAAACCTTGATATTGTAACTGAGAATTCCAGTTGAGTATCCTGCTTATAGGGAGTATGTAAATAAAATAAGAATACTCACAAATAGTTTCTAAATTTCGGAATTTCAAGTAGGGAGAAAAAGCAAATTCTTCCACCTTTGTTAACAAAAGGATATTTTACCAAATTATTACTAACTATAAATAGATTATGAAGTAAAATTTCCTTGAATCTGCAAAACAAAACATTTAAGAACAAGAATGCTCTAAATAAAAGTCATAAAACATTATTGTTATCAATTACTTAATTTCATGCAATCAATTTTGCCTTGCTTGATACTGATCAGCAGTTCCATGAAAAGAAATTTTGGACTATAGCTGATTGACAACACATATCACTATATCTCAGAATTTTATCACATACAATTTTGAAACACATTTTAATAACACATTTATACAAATGCAACTTAAAGAAAGTTAAAAATAATTTTTATTTGACAGTGCTTCCTAATAATATCTCTACAAGATGAAGTAAAAAAGATTTAATTTAGGGCTTTGATCCCAGGAAACCTTCCAAAGATGTCACAAGGTTTAAAGTCCAAAGTATCTGATTCAGTAGAATCAAAGTTTGCTGCAAAGTAATATTTATTTAGCCAGACTGACAATCAAAAAATGTCAAAAGCAATAGAAAAAGTTACATGAATGTAAAAACCTTAACCCTTTTAAAGTTCAGTTTTCTTAAGTAATAAAAAACCTAATAAAGATAACTTGAAGCACAGGAAATTATCTTGGTAAAGCAGAATCTTCTTTTCCTAGGACAATTGCCCAAAAGGCAAAGAAAAGAAAACCTCCTGCAATATGATTGCTTTTTCTTTTGGTAAGTTCATTTAGATAACCTGAAAGTTAAACCTGATTAAAAGTGAACTGGCAGAACCAGAAAAATGCTACAGGAGTCAACAAAAAGTTTGAAGGAGAATGTTATCATCCCAACCAAGCAAAAACCATCTTTTTAGGATCGAAAGAAGGAGAGCTGTATTTCCAACTTGAAACTAGGGAAAGAAGTTAGATAGATTCCAGGGAGAAATGTGGCAGAAATAGAAACTGTTTGTAATTGAGAAGATGACTGTCAAAGAAACAAATTTCAGAATTAATCAAAACCTCTTATAATTTTACTAAGAGCAAATCCACATTCGAAGAAAACCTTGCTATTCTAACACAAGGGACAAAATCTGCATCAGTGTGTTTTTCACATCAAAGTTCAATCCCTAGTAAGACCCATAAATAATTTCCCTCTAATTGTAGACAAAGTGATGACACAAAAAATTCCCTCTATAAATGCTCTTTTTATAAACCTTATCATGACTTAGACCATTTACGATATGCTTGGACTTTCTGCTTTTTCTTACACTTTCTCTTTCTTAACTAACCAATCACTTTAGGAGAAAAATTTGCCACATAGCATTCTTTATTATACAAAATAATCCTCTTTCTTTTCAACCTTCCTTACCAAAAATACATCAGATCCTTCTCATATACTTACATATGAAATGGTCTTTTTCATTTCTAGTAGTTAAATCACACATTAGTTTTAATGTCAACTCTTAGAAACCCTAATTTTCAATGAAAACCCAGGAAGTTATCAATTTTTTTTTGAGATGGAGTCTTGCTCTGTTTCCCGGTCTGGAGTGCAGTGGTGTGATCTCGGCCCACTGCAGGCTCCACCTCCCAGGTTCGTGCCATTCTCCTGCCTCAGCCTCCTGAGTAGCTGGGGCTACAGGTGCCTACCACCATGCCCAGCTAATTTTTTGTATTTTTAGTAGAGACAGGGTTTCACCATGTTATCCAGGATGGTCTTGATCTCCTGACTTCGTGATCCACCTGCCTCAGCCTCCCAAAGTGCTGGGATTACAGGCGTGAGCCACCGTGCCCGGCCTCAATTTTTCTTTTGAGACAGAGTCTCACTCTATCACCCAGGCTGGAGTGCAGTGGTGCAATTTTGGCTCACCTCAACCTCCACCTCCCAGGTTCAAGCGATTCTCATGTCTCAGCCTCCCAAGTAGCTGGGACTACAGGCACGTACCACCACACCTGGCTAATTCTTGTAATTTTAGTAGAGATGGGGTTTCACTGTGTTGGCCAGGGTAGTCTCAAACTCCTGACCTCAGGTGATCCACCTGCTTTGGCCTCCCAAAGTGCTTGGATTACAGACACGAGCCACCACACCCAGCTAGAAGTTATCAACTCTTAACCACCAATCACATATCAAAAATCCATGAATACACATTTTACAATTTCCAGAGACACAGGCTTTCTAACAAAACAACTCTTTAATATGAAAGAGGACATTTCTACTAACAGATTCAGATAACTTTTGTTTTCCTTGGAAATAAGAAGTCAGCAGTATATGAGCCTATATTTATATTCAGCAACCAATATCTCAGCATTATGTTTTATCTGGAAATGATCTAGACATTCAATGAACATCCATCATTTAATTTAGCTTAATGAATCTCTAGGGGTATACTTACCAAGAGATTTAAAAAACCTTCCCAAGTAAACATATCACAAAACATAAACCAATTTACAAAATTTATCCTGTCCAAATTCACCAAATCCATTCACTCTCAAAGAATTATGCTTGAAAAATTTAAAGAGACATCAAACAAATCTAGTCATTATCCCATGCTATTTCTGTCAACCAGTTGTACATTATTGCATTCCAGGCAAATATTATAAAAGCAAGAACTCTAAAGTTAAATACGTGCACATTTTGCTGATAACTCAGAATATGCAGCCATTTTCATCAAACCAATAATGTTAGTCTAGTCCCATCTGCCAAAAGATGACTGAATCACATTAACTTGAAAAGCATTTCAGCTTATTTGCTTAATCTATGAGTATTCTTTTATTTTTTTTGTAAGAGATGGGCTCTCATTGTCACCTAGGCTGGAGTGCAGTGGCCCAGTCATAGCTGACTGCAGCCTCAAAGTCCTGGGCTCAAGTGATCCTTCCACCTCAGTGTCCTGAGGAGCTTGGATTACAGGCACAAGCCATTGCACCTGGCACGTACTCATTTATTTATAAAACAATTTGGAACTATAGACAATATATGAATAGATATGTAAACATATATGTACACAAAAATACAGACACAAATAAAGATCTTATAGCTTTCATTTTAAAACTTAGCCATGAGTTAAGTAAAACTCATTAGTTTCAAAAAACAATTTGATTCCAACTGCATTTCTGTAAATGGAACGGGCTGAAATTTATCTGTTCCACATGCCCAAAGCCTTTACTGAGCTTTAAAGAAAATAGGGTAGCAAATTTATACCTCAAGCACAGAAAGAATTTAAGCTTTTTCAAGAAGTCTGGGTGTGTCAGAAGAGGATTAAAATGGATATCAAGGTAACATACAGTCACAGGAATTTCTCACAGGATTTTACAAGAAAACACACAGACAAGTTCAGAAAAAATTTAGAAATGTTTCCAAAATAACCAGCTGAAAGAGTGAAAGAGGCAGGAGAAAGTGAAGGATAAAGGACAGGTGGCAAAAAGATTTTCTGAAAGAAAGACTGGAAGAAGACAGGAAGACAGGAAGAGTGGCAGAAAGGGGAATGAAGCCAGGAAGAGTGGCAGAAAGGGGAGTCTAGTGGAAGGAGTTTCTTCCAGAGGTTTTTTTCTAGCTTTAGTTTCAGGTTCACAAGCTCTAATCTCTCTTTCTATTTCATTAAGACATTCACTCAATTTGGAATTATTTTCTCTCTCTCTGTGTCTTTTTTTTTTTTTTTGAGACAAGGTCTCACTTTGTCACCCAGGCTGGAGTGCAGTGGTGTGATCTCAGCTCATTGCAGTCTCCACCTCCCTGGTTCAAGTGATTCTCATGCCTCAGCCTCACAAGTAGCTGGGACTAGAGGTGTGCACCACCATGCCCAGCTAAGTTTTGTATTTTTAGTAGAGATGGGATTTCACCATGTTTCCCAGGCTGGTCTCGAACTCCTGACCTCAAGTGATCCACTCACCTTGTCCTCCCAAAGTGCTGGGATTTTAGGCATGAGCCATCACATCCAGCCTGGAATTATTTTCTCTTAAGGGAGGCTACAGTAGCCTTTTGATTCTGTTTAGAATTTTCTAAAGGACAAACTCAAATGCCCATCAATGATAGACTAGATAAAGAAAATGTGATACATATTCACCATGGAATATTATGTAGCCATATAAAGGAATGAGATCATGTCCTTTGCAGGGACATGGATGAAGCTGGAAACCATCATCCTCAGCTAACTAACCCAGGAATAGAAAACCAAACACCATATATTCTCATTCATAAGTGAGAGTTGATCAAAGAAAACACAGGGAGGGGAACAACACACACTGGGGCCTGTTGGAAGGTAGGCGGCAAGGGGAGGGAGAGCATTAGGACAAATACCTAATGCATGCAGGGCTTAAAACCTAGATGATGGGTTGATAGGTGCAGCAAACCACCATGGCACATGTATACCTATGTACCAAACCTGCATGTTCCGCATGTGTATCACAGAACTTAAATAAAAAATAAAAAAAAAGAAAATTAGAGTGCTTAGAACAGTATCTGGCATGTAGTGAGCACTCTGGAAATGCTTGCTCTTGTAACATGTGGCAAACCGCACTCTGACTCTGCCATTTATTAGCAGTGTAGTCTTGTGCAAATTACTTTACCTCTCTGAGCCTCAGTTTCCTCCTCTATAACGTAGGATTAACCCCACAGGACTTGTTGCAGAGGTTGAATAAAATTGAATGGATAATGTGTGGGAAATACTAAGCACAGTGCTTGGACTGAATAAATGTCCAATAAATACCAATTATTTTTATTTCTATTACTTTATTGTCACATTTCTCTTATCATGTCTAGACTTGCACCCCTTCAATCCAGTTCATTCCTATTCATTCCTCAATGGCAGCAAAAGTGGTCTTTTTGAAAAGTAAGCAGCCTCAAAATGAATCTATAGTGACAGAAACACATCAGTGGTTGTCTGGAGCCAGGGTGGAGAGGAGGGATGATTAACTGCAAACAGGTACAAGGGAACCATCTAGGATGAGAAAAACATTTTATATTTTGACTGGTGGTGGTTGTACAGGTGTATTCATATGACAAGACTCATCAGACTGGATACTTAGTTGGATGCATTTCTTTTAATACAAACTTTACCTCAATAATGTTGATTAGAAAAAACAGTAAGCAGCCTCCCTAGTCATCTATTACATTATTATATTTTCTTTTCTCCACAGCACTTATCAGTATATAAAATTATTTCATTCACTTTGTTATATGTCTATTGGCCAACCCCTCCCTCCATTAGAATATAAACTCTTTGAGGGCAAGGACTCTGTCTTATACCCCACTATAACTCTAGAATCTGGAACCACATTTAGCACTTAGTAGGAGCCTGATAAACTCTTCTTGACAGACTGACTAATGATTAAAGTCCATTAATGGTTCTACCTCCAAATTATATATTGATTTTACCTATTATCATCATTCCTGCTAACACCATTTCAGCTTAGGGCACTATCATCTCTTGCCTGGATTATGTGATGGCCTTCTTGCTTCCACCATTGCTCTTTCAGTCTCCACGGAGCCCCCCAGTGATCTTTTAAAATTATAAATCAGATCACATTACTCCCCTACTTTAAAAATGGAGATAAAAATGATTAAGAAGCTGAATAAATGAACAAGAAAAGGCAATTCAAAACTCCAGGAAAATACAAAAGTTATGTAAGAAAGGTCATGGTCCTAATATGAAATCAACCAAAATGTAACTCTGGAGCATATATGAATCTCAGCTCATAAGTTCAAAAAATACCTCAGCTATTAATGATGAGGTGGAGAGATGGCCCTCAGACCAAAAAATTAAGACTTTTATCTTCTAAAAGTTGCCACTTTAGTGTCTTCTGTTCCAGTCTACATGCCCTTTATATCTAGCAAATTTCTATTACCTTCCTGCCATGGTGGGACACATGAGTCTCCTGTGAGGTCATCTGGAGCCTCGGCTGCCTAAACGTACAATGTAGCTGTGACTCTTGAGTCTTGTCACCTTGCCATGGTGTGACCCCACGGTGCTTCCAGAAAGTGAGCCCTGGTCCCTCCTTTTCTGGGAACCCCAAACATGACCTTCTTCTCTAATCAGAGTGAATCTCTTTGTCATAGGGGAAAGTCTATGTTTCTCTGAGTCATTTGGTACACCCATAAGTCACATTCTGTTTTACTTCTTTCCCCAAACTCTATAATTTTTCTAAATATATTAGGGTTGGGGGAGACTAAAGCTGGAGAAAGTGCAGGAAATTTGTATGTTTTATCCCATCAAACATCTCACCCTAGGTAAAGAAGTACCAAATTGGCTATCCATTTGAATGGAAGAAGGGGACATAAAAAAACAAGGAGGAATGAAAAAGTGTAAATTATCATCTCAAAATATTAGCTAGCCAATTTCCCCTTAGTAGATTTTTGTGTCTTCAGAAAATTTATTTTTGACCTTTGTTCAACCCTCTCAAGAGCACAATGTCTGAGTTTTGCATTTTCCAAGGTGGTAGGCATTGTGACTGATTTCCCAACATCCCATCTGTCCCGTGATTAATCTAAGCAATACATAGCAATTTACCTCTTTGTCAGGGGTGGATAAGCTTAAACCAATTTGGGCCAATGAGATTCAAGGAGACGTGTGATGAGGGCTCTAGGAAAGAAACTTCTTCAGTCTTGAATGCTGCGGAAAGGCAGGCTCTTTCTTCTTCTTTAAGTTGTGAATGAGGAAATGTAGAGTTCTCTTTGCCTGGCAGTCACACCACAATAACAAAGGGTAAAGCTAAAACTGTGGGTAGCAGAGCAAAGAAGTAGAAAGAGCCTACAGCCTTAATGCCATCGTTCAGCCACTGAGCCCTGCCCTCATTCTTCATTGTCTAAGCCAGTTGGTTTTTCTGTTACTTGTGAGTTGGCTTTTCTGTTACTTGTTGTTGAGTGCATTCTATCTGATTTAGAATTTGGTGCCAGGAATAGAAGTGCTAAAACTGTAGTGAGTTGCACGGTAGCTCCCCAAAGATATATCTATAAGCTAACCCCTGGAACCTGTGAGTGTCACCTTATTTGGAAAGAGTCTTTGCAGATATACCTGGATTATATTTTATTATTTTCAGATGTTGAAGAGACCCAACTTAAAGATATTTTAGTTAAAAAAATAACATTTGACCTTTATTACATGACCATTTATCAAGATCAAAAAAAGTCTTTTCAATAGAACTTCATATGATCCAGGAGTTTAAGTCTTTTTTTAAAAAATTAGTTCAATGACTTATTTGACAGTGTTACTAACTTCAGAAATGGATTTTCCTATAACTGTAAAAGAATCCTGGTCTGGGAGTCTGAACGCCTCATTTCTATCCTTGTCTTAGTTACTAAGCTGGAGGCTTAGGTAGGTCACTTCCCCCTCTGAGTGTTAAGTTACTTATTCTATGGAATAAGTGGCTCCCAATTGCTCAGGTGCATCAGAATCTTCTAGGTCCTTGTTACAAATACATACTTCTGGGTCTTGTCTCAGTCCTACTGAATCAGATTTTCTAATATTGGTGCAGGAGTCTGTATTTTTTAATTAACTGGGTGATTACAAGGTACAGCCAATTTTTTGAAGTATTGGATGAACACCTCCAGGGTCCTTCATAGCTCTAAAAATTTGTATTCTGTTTTCTATTCCTTCTATCATTGTTTGTCCTAACTAAGCTACTAGATATTGTGCTAAAACAAAGCAAAGCAAAACACAAAATAAACAATAAATAACCAAGACCATGGTTTAATCATCTTTATATTCCTCCAGCACCTACAAAGTGCCTGGTAGGTAGTAGGTGCTCAAGAAATATTTGAAAAATTACTCAATGGTGATTAAATAAATGAATTATTTCATGTGGATCCCAATCACCTATAGATAGAAGAATCTAAAAAGAGAGAAAATATTTTAAACTTTTGTCTGATGTAATCTTGCACTCCCTATCTGCCCTACTATGTACTTCAGTGATGGGTTATGTGAATGAAGTCATGCATATTGAGGGACCCAGTAGGAAGGTGGTTAGATTCTCCTGGAGGCAAGATTATCCCACAGTATTTCTCAGTGGCAGTGATAACTGAAAGGGGCTTATGAATCCTCAGGAGCTGGTTTTCTTCTCCATGACTTTTCCAGGACCAGAAAAGGCCATATCCTGACTGGGTGACAGATGTCCTTGGAGCCATTGCTGCAGATCGCTGAACTTGCAAACACCACCTCAGGTTTCTGTGTGGTCCCAGAGGGTGGGAAGAGGCATTCATCTTCTGTTAGAAGTTACTGGTAAATTCGACAGCAGTGGGTGTCAGCTGAGCCAAGCGTCCTTTGCAACCAGTGTCCCCAGGATATCTGATACCACCTTTTGTGACCCCACCGTCCTTCCTTCCACCCCCACTTCTAGGCTCCACTGACCCATTGAGCCTCCCCAGTTTAGACACTGTCCGCTGGCCTTGGAAGGTACCGGCTCAGGATGAAATCTGTCACAGGGGTGGGCAACTTAGCCAGGGGGATGTAGAGGAGTTTGGCATCCAGGCCAGGGTTGTAGCGGATGCGAGGGCTCCGGGAAACAATAGCATGCTCCATGCTGTTGATGACATCTCTGACTCTGGGCTCTGCCACCTGCATTATGTTTTTTAACTTGTCAGTATCTGTTTGAGGGCAGAGAGTGGAAAAAGGCTCTGTTATTCTTCATAAAAGATGATTTCTTCTGAATTCTGTCCAACTACCGTTTCCATGAGATCCCTGATCTAACATTTCAGACAGGTCTGCCACACCCTCCAGGTGGTCCCTTATACAAACACACATTTATAAGACTATTATAAATAATCTTAGCCTGGCCAACATAGTGAAACCCCATCTCTACTAAAAATATGAAAATTAGCCGGGCATGGTGGCACATGCCTGTAATCCCAGCTACTCAGGAGGCTGAGATACTGAATCACTTGAACCCAGGAGGCAGAGGTTTTAGTGAGCCGAGATCACACCATTGCACTCAAGCCTGGGCAACAGAATGATATGCTGTCTCAAAATAAATAAATAAATAAATAATCAATCTTATTTATCTTCCTGAATTCAACAATTGTGCATTGAATTCCTACTATTGCATTAGACTGGTGATGAGAAGAACTGTGAGCATTCTTAAAACTGTGCCACTTATTAGTTATATTACCTTGAGCTTAAACTTTTATTATCTGTAAAATGGAGATAATACTATCTTTCCTGAAGTTTGGGCATAGTGGCTCGGGCCTGTAATCTCAGTACTTTGGGAGGCCAAGCCAGGTCGATCACCTGAGGGCAGGAGTTTGAGACCAGCCTGGCCAATGTGGTGACATCTCCTCTCTACTAAAAATACAAAAATTAGCCGGGCTTGGTGACACCTGCCTGTAATCGCAGCTACTAGGGAGGCTGAGGCATGAGAATCACTTGAACTCAGGAGGAGGAGGTTGCAGTGACCCAAGATCGCACCACTGCATTCCAGCCTGGGCAAGAGTGAGACTCCGTCTCAGAAAAAAAAAAAAAAAAGTCTGTCTGGAGAATACCAAAAGACGATTAATAGCAGGGTAGACACTGGGGGAGTACAGAATAGCAAACATGATGGGAAGACAGCCTTTTTTTTTTTTCCTTCTATGTACTTCCTAGAGTTCCCACATTTAAACAAAAACATGCAGGAGAAAATATTATTTAAAAATAGTAATACTGCCCCTACCTCGGTCATAAGATCATTGGCCATTGTGGACTCAAATAATTTAAGGAATAGACAAGCACCTCATGGGGCCCTCACAAATGTGAGGGGCTGTTCTGTTTGCATTGGCACCCAGGAGTGGAGATGGGGACAGAGACCCCAGGTGGTACAAGTCTGCCAAAGCTCATGACATAAATAGGAGAAGGGCCACACCACACACCCACCAGGCCCTCATGTGCATCCTCACCCCAGGACAGAGGGATTCATGCTTCACTGAGAGCCCTGAGGACTCCAGAGAAAATGGTGCTTCAAAGTCAGACTGCCCTGATGAGGGATGAAAACTTGAAAATGGAGAGGAAGCCAAAGCTGCCCTGACTTTGAGAATGGTCCAGGCAGGCAAGGACTTCACCCACTCGGGGCCAGGATCCTTGTGGGTGGTTGGTGAGAATGGGGCAGTGTCACTTCAGTCCCCTTCACCCCAGACTCTGAGAAACTCCATTTTCTGTTTCCTGGAAAGAAAACTGATGCAGGGAAAAAGCCAAACTACATTTTGGGATCTCAACAAGAGCCACACTAACTTAAAGCCAGACTGTCCATAAGGCAGTAATGTCTTGGGAAACCACACCCTGACCTCTGACCATAGAGCTGGCACAGAGGCCACCAGCAGCAGGACTGAGGGCCGAAGGAATCGTTCAGGATGTCCCAGGGGCTGTCTCTGCCAACTCGGAGCCAGGGAAACCTTTGTGGGCTGAGGAGGTGGAGCAAGCTGACGTGGTGAGATGGGCTGGGGACTGGGTTCTGAGAGGTGGGGAGGGCTTACACAGGCAGTGGGGTGGAAGAAGGTACCCCACACACGGGAAAGGTTATAAGGCACCTGCTTTCATTGTTTTCTCAAATAGATATTAGCTGCCATTTAGTGCTGGGCACCCTGCTAGGCATGGAGTGGGAAGGGAGACTGAAGGACCCATCCGGCCTTGTCACTCTCCTTCACAGTGAGGAAGGACATAGGCTTTGGAGTTGGGCACCTGGGAAAACGTTTTTGTTATTGGGAGAATTAAGCAAGATAAAGTCTATAAAGTATCAGGCCTGCTCCTAGGGGTTACAAGCCAGGGGCCTGTTTGGTCAGCCACAGCAACTTGCTGAGTTTGTACCCAGTGATGCTCTAGGACTACTCCTAAATATCTCTTCTGTCTGTCACACAGCCACCCCCCACCCCCAGAACCACCATGACTTAGAACTTCATGTCTTTATCATTCCTTCGCTGGGTTTCTGCAGTAGTCTCCCAGGTGGCCTTTTTATCCTTCCCACAGTGACACAAATCTGATCCGCCGTTTCAGAGCCATTTACAAGGCTCTCTAATGCCTTTAGGATAAGAGCCATGCTCCTTAGTATAGCAATCAAAGCATTTTATGATCTGACTCCTAATCTCTCCCCTCCTCAATCACCACCCACAGCACTCCTGCCAGACTATAATGGCAATGGCAAAGGTTTGTTCAGCTCTTACCGTGGCAGAGCTGAGTATTCTGCATTTCTGTTTAAATCTCCTAACAATCCATGAGAGAGGAATTGTACTTTATAAATGGATAAACAAGTTTGGAGAGCTGTACAACATGATTAGGGGGACTGCTGGAATACAAGCCTGAATCTGCACTACCTCTAAAAGCATACAATGCTACGTCAGGTCACCAAAATGTTGCTCACACCCTTCCTCTTGTGTAAAACATCCACCATCTCTTTCCCTGTTGGTATACTCCTATTCATCCTTCAAAACTCACTAAGGCATTAACTGTCACCTCTGTAAGGCTTCTGTGACAGCGGAGTGAAGTCTGCACTGCTGCTTGTTTTGTACGCATGTACATTATTGCAAGATTCTTCATGTGGTGGTGTATTTACTTTCACATCTTCCCTGCTAGTTTCCCGGAGACTGTCTCATCTCTGTATCCCAATAAACACTGGGCAACTGAAGCGAAAATTCTGGTATAACCACTTGGGAAAACGTTTATCTAAGTGTAGTTGACCACTGCCTGAAAATTTTCCTCTGAAATTATGGTGTGGACTACAGGTGAATTGGCCTAACATATTTTATAAGCCCAATCCTTACTATTCTTTAGTATAACAATACCAGTTTCTGGACAAGGTTTTGTTGCCTTTATACATATTCTTCCATGAACCACACTAAAGATGCTACAAGCACTCTTCACCCTGAGTGCTTACTTAGAAAATGACTTTGTGAGGTTTCCAGACACTGGCTGAATTCACTTTGCCCCAGCCTCAGAGCAGCTCCACAAATAATTTGAACTACTCTTTGCTAAGAATGATCACACAGAGGATAAATATTCTTCCCCACACACACTAACATCTACTCTCCTTGCTCCCAACGGCAGCACATTTCCCTTTGGGGACCTATGCCTCCCCAACACCGTGTCCATTGGTCTGGGCAGAGCACAAGGCCCAGCCTGAGCCAATCACACCTTCACATTCCCCTGGGCGCAGTGACTGGTTTAGGGTTGGGTGCATCTTGTAGTCCCCTATGATGTGGCCACCATAGGTCCTCCAAGTCAGAGTGTACATTAGGACTTTTGGGAGAGGTACTGGAAAGAACTCTCCTATTTTCCCAGCAGACCTCACCCTAGGTGGAGGTGAAAAGAGGCTGCAGTTATGCGGCTCCCACAGGGGAGAGAGCTTAGAGATTGGAGTCAACGCAAAAGAAGCAGAGCCAAGAAATGGGTGAAACCAGGTCCTAGCAACATCATTTGCAGTCTGGGTCAGGTTGTACCTGAAGCTTATCTTGCTCAACTTTTTAGTCAGGTGAGGCAAGAAATTCCTTTTCTGCTTAAATAATTAGCACTGGATCTTCTGTCACTGAGTAAGTCCCAACTAATGTAAATCCTTAGACATTTTCTTCTCACAGAATCCTAACATGTCTAGCACTAAAAGATGAATTTATCTAAGGGGTACCCCAAAAGTTTTTCCCTGAGGCTTCCCAAATCAATGAATGAATGGCACCTCCATCCACCATATTCTTCAAGCTGTAAAGCTAGCACTCACCCTTGATGGCTTCCTCTCCCTCACCCCTTAATCCTCAGTGTGCTTTGATGCTCTAATTTATTCTGTATACTCCAGCTACCTCCCATTGCTTCCCACCTGCTGGTTTCTTTAAAGTTCCTCAAATGGAGTTTTCTGCCTCAGAGCCTTCCTGCAGAAAAAAAGTCCCTTCTTTCCCCTTCCCAGCAACACCTAACTCTTATTCCTCCTCAAAGTCAACTCAGAGAAGCTCTCCCCTTCACCACAACCTGAATTGGGACCCCAACTTCCCACTTCATTCTTCTTTCACAACCCTGTTTCTCCTCTGTTGCACTTATCCACATCTACCATGAACACATGTGTTTTTATTAATGTTTGTCTCCCCTACTGGGCCATAAGCTACAGGCAGTGAGGGGCAGGCACACTGCTATGTCCGCTCCAGTTCTCCAGCCCCACACATGCTTGGGACATGGCAGCCTTGCATGTTTTGTATTACTGATTCAAAACAAAAATAAAAAACAAAAATGCAATAAAGTGTGTATGTATTAAGTGAAAAAAAATGGCCATCTTGGCTTTGTGCTCTGTTGACGTATGATGTCCAGCAGACAACTTTCGCAGCACAAAGTATTGGGGCAGCAGGATAAACAGCTGCCATGTCCCACCTCTACCCTCCAGAAACACCAATGATTCACAGGAGACCCTCAGCTCAGGGAGAGAAAGAGAGCTGCCTAGAGACCCTCTCTTTTAAATCCCCATGTGCTCATTTTCTTCTTTATTAACAAGCACTCAGAATGTGCAAAGCACTTCACACATACTAACCCTCATAGCAACCCCATGAAGGAGGCACTATCTATCTTTAGCTCCATTTTGTAAATGAGAAAACTCAGGCATGGGAAAACTAGGTAATAGGCCCAAAGTCTCCTAGCTGGTAAGTAGTAGAGCCAGGATTTGAACCCAGGCAGTCTGGCTCCAGCAGCCATGCTCTTGATCTCTTCACTATATTTATCTCAGTACATTTTCACCTGATTCCCCTGCATCATGATGCTGTGTGGGCAGGTGCCAGGAGTGGGCCGAATTGCCCTTAACTCCCCACACCACTCCAGCAGTGATGATTCTGCTGCTTGCTCTCTATTCTCAAACCCCAGCTCTGCCACTGTGTGACCTTGGGTCCTGAACTCCTCTGCATTTTGTCTCACCATCTGTAAATGGAAAGCCAGCTAATGACCCCAAGACCCACTCGCCCCCCTTAGAGACCCCTCTCCTGCCTCAGGAACTTACAGTTACGGAAATACTCCTCTCCATAGCTGTCCCGGGTCTCCTGAGGCAGCCTCTCCCAAAGCTTTCGCATGCGTGACTCCAGGTTCTCCTTGCCCAGAATGGCTGTCCGGTAGTTCCCTGGCTCAATGATGCAGACCTTTACCCCAAAGTAGTGGAGCTCACGCCTGGGAAAGAAGAGTTGTGCTCAGTCTGGGTCTCAAGATGACAATCATCAGGGAGAGTCACCTCTGGATGGGCTTGTCTTTCAGGAACCTAGAGATGCCTCCCTCACCCCCTGTGCATGGCCCTGGCATTGCCTTTATGCAAATAAGCCCTTCCTTAGGTACTCAGCCTTTTCCCAGACTGGCCCAGCAGTCTCTGGGCAATTTGCATTAGGCATAACCGACGGGAAGAAGTCAATAGAGAATCTAGGCCAAGCCTTACCTCCCACCAGGTCCCTCCCATTAGCAACTCCTCACTCAACACCCACATGGTGAAGGGTGTGGGTCTACACAAGACCTGCATGCTCCTCTAAAGACCTCCAGAGGGGACCTCTCCTCCGGGTCTGTCTGTCTTATGGGGGACTCTCCCTCCTCCTCTCACAGGCCCAAACAGGGTTTCACTCACCCTGGTGCTGCTCAAGGGAAGGCCCACCTGATGCCTCGTATTTTCACCCTACCTCTTCTCCTCATACCTTCTCTTGGTCCTTGGAGAAAGCACCTTGAGGTCTAACCTTCCTTCTGCTATTGTGTTAGCTTCCTGTCTGCAGAATTCCCCTGCCCACAAGCTGTCACTCCCAACCCTCTCTAACCCCCGGGATTTCCACCTGGAGTGGTTTAGTACCAGGGCCCAGTTACCTGATGCTGTCAGAGAAGGCCTCAACGCCAAACTTGGAGACGCAGTAGCCACCACCGATGACAGCCACAAGACCACCACAGCTGGACATGTTGATAACCCTGCCCCGGGCTCTCTTGACCATGGGCAGCATGTGAAGGGTCACTTCGATCAGTCCCACCAGGTTCACATTAATCACTTTCACAAAGTCCTCCTTGGTCAGCCATTCGTTGGGACCACTGGGCAGGCCCACACCAGCATTGTTCACCAGGGCCCAGAGGCCTGGGGGTGAGATGGAGAACCACATAGAAATCATCAGTGGGCCTGGGAAAGAACCAAGGTTTGCTCCCCACTGGCTCAGTGCCTTTAAGGATGGTTGAGCAGGTGCACAAGACACAACCCAGTCAGGCTATAACATAAAAGAAAGGTGTATCTTTTACTGATTCATTTTCCCTGAAGGGACACTTTTTCCCAATTCAAGTAAAGTCTGCCGACTAGCTGGCACTCTGTGCCAGCTACAATCAAGGTGTTAGCTAATAGCATTTCAGCTATAAGCGTTGGGATAAGAGTTTCATTTTCATACCAATGAATTAGTGTTTAGATCCCTTCCCCATCATGCTTCTCCCTCTCTATTCACTTAAGTATAACCAACTGCATTTCACATACTACCAAAATCAATCCATTCATTCATTCATCCATCTTTACACATTTATTCATGCATGTATCTAGTCTGTGACAATTGTAGGGTGAAGAAGGCCAGGTGCAGTGACCCACACCTGTAATCACAACCCTTTGGGAGGCTGAGGTGGGAGGATCACTTGAGGCCAGGAGTTTGAGACCAGCCTGAGCAACAGAGTGAGACTCCCGTCTCTACAAAAAAGAAAAAAAATTAGTTAGGTGTGGTGGTATGCACCTGTAGTTCTAGCTACTGGGAGACTGAGGTGGGAGAATCACTTGAGCCCAGGTTACAGGTTACCTTGTTCAAGGTTACAGTGAGCTATAATGGTGCCATTGCACTCCAGCCTGGGTGACAGAGTGAGACCCTGTGTGTGAAAATAAAATGAAATAAAATGATATGAAATAAAATAAAGTAAAATACAAGGTAAAGGAGACATAACAACAGAGCGTTTTATCCCTCCAGGAACTCACAAGCCTAGAAGGAAATAATAATATTTATAAATAAATATATAAATTATTTAAATAAAATAATTATGGAAAATGTGATGAGGACTGTCTTTGAGATATTTCAATTAGGTTGGTACAAATGGAAAGAAATAATGCTAAGTGTGGTCATTCAACTTTGCAGGGGCCCAGGGTTGAAGAGCGTCAGGTCCAGTCCTGGTTTTACCTCCAGCCTTGAACAAGTCACTTCCCTCTCTGGGCCTCAGACTCTTCATCAGATTGGACTAAAACAGTTGCTTGACTGTATTTTGCAAGCCTTCTAGCAGGAGGAAAAGGCAGGAGAAGCTCTCCTTTCATTTGTTTTACATATTGGAGTTCCAAAAAAATTCCACCAGATGCTAAAGATACACTGGAGACCCCTCTAAACACTGCTCAAGGACCCCTTCCAGCTCCTTCATGCAAGGATTCCCCAAGTCCTACTGCCCTGGTGATTCCCCTGACAGACCCAGCCTCAGCAGCCCCAGGATACTCTGCAGGCGCATCTCACTGTCTCCTGAGGGCAGGTCTCAACACAAACATAAATCCTAGTCCACCCCTCCCTCTAGGGCCGGGGTCCCCACCGAAGCCATGCCCCTACCCAATCTCCCTGCCTTTGTGCATTCAGGAGCAATGAGAAAGCACACAAGAACTTCCTCTCCCATCCCCCTACCCACCCCAGTTCCCGGTGCTTCGTAGGCAAGGATATTGCCCAGTGGCTTAGGCAAAATAATGGTCCCCCAAAGATGTCGCCAGCCTCATTATCTCTGGAACCTGTGAATCTGCTGGATTACATGGGAAAGGGGAATTAAGGTTGCAGGTGGAATGGAGGTTGCTAATCAATTGTCCTTAAAGTTAGGGAGGAAGTTAACACAGGGAAATTATCCTGGATTAAACTGGTGAGCCCAATATAATCACGAGTCCTTCTAAGTGGAAGGAGGCAGAAACCAGAGAATCAGAGAGATTGAGAAAAGTGTGAAAAAGACTGGGCTCAACATTGCAGGCCTTGAAGATGGAGGTAGCAGGCCAGGAGCCAGGGGATGTCAGCTGCCTCTGGAAGCTGGAAAAGGCAGAGACGGATTCTCCTCTACAGCCTCCAGAAGGAACACAGTTCTGCTGACTGATTTTAGATCAGTGAGGCCCATTTTGGACATTACTCCTCCGGAACTACAAGATAATATGTTTGCATTGTCTTCAGACTGTACAGTTGTGTTGTTACAACAGCAACAGGAAACTAACATGCTAAGTGAGGTATTAAGGCAAGTGGCTCAAGGCTGAATGTAGGGAACTGGTTGAGACAGCCTGCTGAAGACAGAGGCTCACTCTTGCTGAATTACTAATTAATTAGCTCACCCGAAAACTATTTATTGAGTACCTTACTAGGTGCCAGACATTATTCTAGGTACTAAGGATGCACAGTAAATAAAAGGGACAAAAATCCTTGTCCCCAGGAAGCTTTATTCTAGGAGGAAACAGACAATAAATAAGTAAAATCTATTGTACATTGACTAGTGATAAGTGCCAAGGAGAAGAATCAAGCAGAGAATTACTGTCTGGATCCCCCTGGCTCCAGGGCTCTGTTGCCCTGACCTGTGCATGGGCTCCAGACTAGTTCCTTTAGGAGGGAGGACTTCCTCTAGTCTGCTGCTTCTGCAACCCAGCCATCCTGTTCCTCCTGTTCCTGGGCCCACACCCTGTGTGCTGCAAGTGCATGAGGCAGGTCCCCACGCAGTCCTGGGCCAGCCCCAGTCCACAGCTTCCTTTCCCGATAGGAACAGCCACTCTGACGTACATACTTGCCCTGAAGTCAAACCAACACCCACCATGATGTCAAGAAGAGACCAGATCTCTTTCTCCCCTGCCTGACATAGTCAAGGAGAGAAACTGCACCCCCTCATGGGATCCAACCTCCTGTCTCATTCCCCCTCCCCCTTATCCTGATCCCAACAAGAAATGTGCTTATATTTCCCCAGGAGCTGATGGTTAGGGCTGCTGAAACCTCAGAGAGGCACATCCTATTTTTTTTTTTTTTTTTGAGATGGAGTCTCGCTGTCACCAGGCTGGAGTGCAGTGGCGCAATCTTGGCTTACTGCAACCTCCGCCTCCAGGGTTCAAGTGACGCTCCTGCCTCGGCCTCCCGAATAGCTGGGACCACAGACACATGCCACCACACCCAGGTAATTTTTGTATTTTTTAGTAGAAATGGGTTTCACCATGTTGGCCGGGATGGTCTCCATCTCTTGACCTCATGATCTTCCTGCGTCGGCCTTCCAAAGTGCTGGATTTATAGGCATGAGCCAACATGCCCGGCCAGGCATGTCCATTTTTAGAGGTTTGGACACACAGAACACATCTTCCCCCCTCACTTCCTATTGAGACCTCTTTCCTGTCTCTCTGAGTTTCCAGGACAGAAAACTTCCTTGGGAAATCACCCCTTCATGTGAACAGGCCAAACCATGCAGTGGCTTCCAACCAGATTGAAGCAGGAGCCTTTCCTATGTCACCCCTCCCACCCCATCTGGACATCAGGGTCTCTGATACTGTCAGATGCTTCGGGAGAGAGGAAGAGGAAGAAGGAGAAACCAAGAAAGTCAAAGAATGTAATTCGCCCCACCTTGCTCGCCCACTTGGTCCCTCAACCACTGGGCCGCCGCCTTGATGCTTTCACTCTTGGTGACATCCAGTAGGGTGGTCTGCAGCCGATAGGAGGTATCCTGCTGAAGTTTCTGGGCTCCCTCCTCAGTGAAGCAAGCAGCCAGCACCCGCATGCCCCGATCAACTAGCTGTTTGGCCAGCAGGTTCCCGAAGCCAGAGTCACAGCCTGTGATAAAGACGTACTTCTCCGAGAGGTTGCCAACCAGATTGCAGTTCTTGAACCAGCGGTACATAAATGAGAGGTCTGTGAGGGCCGCCATAGGGCAGGAGAATGTGATGGCCAAGAGGGAGTGGGCTCAGGAGACAGCAGGGAAGAAGCTGGTCCTCTGAGCCCTAGCAGGCAGTCTACAGGAAACCACCTGGAAGAACTCACCTCCCTCCCACAGCTTGCAACAAATCTAGGTCCCTGGGTGAGCCACGCTGTAATTTTTATAGGTGGATGCATCACCACAGCAATTAGCTCAGATGCAAGAAATTCAAGTCCAACCTGAAGCCTTGTCACCTCTGACAGCACTGGTGGCTGCCTCCTTCTCTCCCCCTGCCCTGATGGGTAAAGCTGCCAAGAATGGGAAAGAAGCCACTGGCAATGTTGGTGATGAGTGGTGGTTCACCCAGGTGGTGTAAGGGAGGCAAATGAAAAAGGAGGACTCACCCCAGACAGCTCCCCTAGAAATCCTGTCGCCACCCTACCCCCAACCCAGCCTAGGGATTTTGGTCTCCAGAGATCAAAATCTTTTGTAATGAGTGCAGGTATGTAAATAAGTTTAAGTTTTATTTTCAGGGAAAATACTCAAGACAATTTTATTAATGTAAAACAAACAACATTAGTTCTGTACCTTCCAAACCCCAAGAGAAACAAGTTGCAGGTCGTCAGCTCTCTGGAATTCTTAGGTAAGTCTCCACCAGGAGAGAGGATGAAAAGCAATGGATTTCTCCTAAGGTGGATGTACCTCCACTGTCCTGAGGCTAGTGGCAGCAGGGCCCTCCTATAGGGGAGGCTGGTGATGTGAAACTTAGCCACCAGAAAGCAGAAAGACCTGGGGGACTCAGGCCTGACACCCCCTGGGGATGATACTCAGGCCATCAGTGACTGGCCCTGGGCAAGATGATGAGGTGGGATCATGAGTTCACTGGGCAGCTGAGGGAATTGTCTGGGCAGAGGCCTTGACTGTAAGAGGGGATGAGATATAGGAGGAGCAGAGAACTGGGGCCAGAGACATAGAAAATTCTCTGGGTCGGGACTTGGAGGAGAAGAGATTCTAGGCAATTTAGCAAATAATTTACAGAAAACTAAGAGGGAAGGTGGTAAAGGAAAGGAAATAAGGAAACCAGAGGTGTGAGTAGTGAGGGGCCACACCCAGAATTTCATAAGATGCAGGGGAATGATGCTGGAGCCTCCTGTGATTCTTTGGATCAACATCTAGGGTCACCATCCCTTGGGATGAGCCTGGTCTCAGCTCACACCTTCATGGCTTAGAGAGTCTGATACAGAAATGGGACCACAAAGTTCTCTAGTGTGAAGGAACAAAGGATGTATCTCTGTGATCCACCACTTGCCAAGTCTGATGAGCGTAGAATCACATAAAGCAGGTGTCACCTTGGGAAAGCCCTGCAGGGTTTGGTCATTCCTTAACAAAGTAGTGGGGGGGGGGCAGATTATGAACCCACCCTTGAAGAGCAGACCCAAAACTTGTAGGGGATGGAAGTGGAAAATGGTAGAAAGCAAACTGCACCTACTTCATAACCACCTCGAGGCAGAGCACCTCCTATGTGGGATCTGGGAACCATCTCCCAGTGTCTGTCTGCCTCCTGGGTGAATGAACAGAGAAGTCTTGGCTGGGAGAGGTCAGACCATGTCACTCAAGGACTGAGCAGACCTGGGGCAGTGGGTATCCCAGTTCTTGAGGACACAGGTGAGGTCCAGGAGTTGGCTCCAAACCTAGAATAAGGATAACTCAGAACTGCTCCAGCGCAGGCCTGGGCCTGACTCAGCACCTCCTGGGCCTCTGTGCTGGCAGTGTTCCCCTGGTCTCAAACTAAACACACAGTCCATGAGGGTGTGGGGTGTGAGGGCTGTAGGACCACATAGAAGGCTCTTCCTCCCAGGGCTAGAAATGCCTTCCTCTCTCAGATGACAGGACTCCTTGCTGAGCTGGCCCCTAAGGTCTGGTAGGTCAGGTTGGTAGCTGCACTTCCCATCCCCACCCCATGCACACAGGTATCTCAGAAGAGAGGAGCTCTCTCCTCTGTCAGGCCATTTCCCTCCAGTGGGAGAGCACAGACTCTGAGGGCCAAGACACACCCTGATGAGGTAGACAGGAGGAAGAGCAGGTGTGGGCTCACCTACCCCCAGTTGCTCAAGACCTTCCACAAATGTGGATTCTTCAGGGTGACAGGTGGGCCATGAGGCTCAGGGCCCAAGGAAGTGGGATGCCATTATCTGTGATTGGGTCTCCCTTCCTAAGCAGCAAAATGTGGTTCTTTCCTCCTAATATCACCGGAGTCCTGAATAACATCCCCGGAGAGACCTAGAACAGAGGTGAGGGAAGTGAGGTATAAGACCCTGGCCTTGAGAGCTCCCTCCCACCACTCTATTTCTCACCCCATGAAACAGTACCCCTCCCAAATGCAATGACGTTAAAGTGAGGGCCGGTCACTGAGTGCTACAAAGAGGTTGCTTGAGAGAAGAAGAGGACTCAGGTGCCCCAGGGAAGGGATCTGGGGCCTGCCAGTGCCTTAGTGACATGCCATTGCTTCCTTGTCCCTCTGTGTGCTCCTGTGATCCCAGGCTACTTGATTCATTCCTGGAAAGAAAACAATTGCCCCTCACCTTGGTGGCAGAAAGGGCTGAGACAGGGCAGGGATAATCCAACTTCTCTCTTCAATTTCCTCCTGAGTTCGTCCCTCTCATCCCCAGATCCCCAAGAAGGCACCTGCCTCCTCCTCCCTCTAGCTCACAGCCCATGTTCCCCTCAGACTAGAAGGCAACTTGCTGCACATGGCTGCACTTTTCAGCCTTTGCTCTAGAACAAAGGTAACCAGAGAAGCCCATGGTTTCAAGAAAGTCAAACATTGGTTCCTGTGTCTTCTGTCAGAATCCCTATTGAGGACACCATTGCCAGCCAGTGCCCCCAGAGCTGGCACCTGAGGTCTAGGGATCAGGCTGGCTGCCCTGTCACCCCACACCATGTCCATAGGTGTATTCAGAGGAGCCCTCACCCACTTCCTCCAGGCCATTTCCATCATGGGGAGAGTGTAATAGACTGGCCAGGTTGATGCACACCTGAGGAAGGTGCAGGAGGCAGAGAAGCTGTGGTCTGTGGATCCTTCCCCTCCTCACACCCTCCCATTGTGTAGACTCCTCAGAATTGATCAAAAGACTCAAAGGCAACAGGACACCTATGAGTGCCACTGGGTCCCATTCTTTAGCAGAACACCTTAGTTCTTTCCGCCTAATGTTGCCAGTCCTGAGTGATATCTCAGTGGAATTCTGTTGAGGGCATGAGGAAGAAGGTGGAATAGGCATCCAGATGACAAGAGAGCTCCCTCCCACCATGCCATTACTCTCCCCAGGACACATCATCTCACCCAGGTCACCCAACTCCACTCAACCATGCACCCCAGTCTTGGATTCATAGGGGCTTAGCCGGCCTTGGAGAGCCCCAGTGGAGCATGACGTCCATAGGAAGGTAGGCATGACACTCATGGGGAGGTAGAGAAGATTAGCATCTCAGCCAGCGGAGTAGTGAGTGCTCCATGCAGTGGGTCAACAAGGATATATTCATACTGCATTTTGCCCAAAGGCTTCTAGATGCTTTTCTGATGCCTGTTAAGGATCAGGAAAGATCCTTAATGTACTAGCACATCCCTTCCCTCCCATTTAGAGCTCTGAATTAGAAGGATAGTGTCTAAGAATTCCAGGCCCCCCAAATGATATGCCTCAAGTGTAATCTATCCATATTCCCCAGAGAGTGCCCCAACCTTCACCCGAGAAACATCTGTGCCACTCTAAGCTCCCTCAGCCTCTCTTTTTAAGATATCTGGACTCATAAATTGAAGGTCTCTACTAACAGCCTAAGAATATGAAAATCAACTATCTCTAAACCCAGCTGCCCATGAGCCCACTGTCTCTGACTTCACTTTCCTCTGCAAAATAATGAGGGGTTCAGATGAGGCAGTGGTCCCAATTATAGGAAACTTGGATGCTACCTTTATGTGAACAGTTGACCACATGGCACCCTGGGAATGGAGCTAAATGTCCTCACTTTGCTGGGGAGGCAGAGTCTGGAGGACAGACTCTCATACTGTTGGAGGCACTAATGATGGACCTAGACTTCCAGACAAGGATTTGTTTCTTGCCCCATTGTCCAGAACTCACTCATGGGATGTCAGAAACTTCTCCCCATAGGTCTCCTTGACCTCAGGGCTGACCTGGTCCGACAGCTCCTTGAGGTTCTGTAAATGCCTCTCAAAGCTTCTCATATTGGTCTTGAAGTGACCAGGTTCAATCACAGCCACCTTCACTTCAAAGTGGGAGAGCTCCCTCCTGCGTGGCGGACACACAGAAGGGCAAGGACTTCAGAGGTCTTGGGAGGCAAAACACAAAAAACAAAGAAACCTAATACAAACCCAGCATGCAACAGCAGTGGAAGAGGCTAGAAAGCTTGGAGAGTTGGGAAGGGCAGCAGATAGCAGATGAAAGTTATGATGGTGGCCTTGCCTCTCTGGGGTTTCCACATTTTACATACCAAAGCTTACTAGCCCTAAATCCTACCAATTCAAGAGCAAGGCAGCACCTCAGTGCTATCACTTCCTATGCCCTTCACATCCAATGGATCACCAGAATTCCCATATTCTACCTCCTCTGCAGTCCTCAGTCCCCTCCCTTCTTCTCCTGCCCCAGGAATCTCCCTGGCCTCTGAGCTGGGCGATGGCAGCTGTCCTCTAAGGAGCGTCCCTCTGCCTTCAGTCTGGTTCCCCACACTCACAGTCACTGGGCTCCCTGCAGTCAGTGGGTGTCTAGAAGCCGATTAGACCAAGGAGCTCCCCTGTGCAAATCCCTTTTTTTGGGGGATCCACTAACAACAGCATGAGGCACAGCTCCTGCCCAGGGCCTCCACCAGCCCACATGCACCCACCTGCCCAGCCTCCCCCAAGGCCTGGCACTGTGCTTCACCCCATAAGGCCACCACAGCACAGGCAGATGGCTGAGGCTCGCCCTGGACCTGGGCTGAAGACAAAAGTCATTCCCCCATTTCTGTTCAAGGCTGCCAGGTGGGGATCCTCAATCTTCAGCTCAGACCCCACTGCCAGGACCCTCCCCAGCTTAGGAGGCTGCCATGGCCAGCAGGACTGAATGGGTCACAAACCCTGTGAGAACTGGCAACAGTGATTCTGGCTCTCTTGCCCCTCTCTCAGGTGTTAGAGCTTTTAGGTCAGAGCTAAAACCTTGTTGTTGTCCTAAGCTGAGTTTATTGGGCACTCATCCAAGGGCCCAAACAGTATGTTGCATGGACTCAGATGCTCTCCCCATGCCTCCAGGGCCCAACAAATATCTCTCCAGGGGAGAGAGACAGAGACAGGAAAACAGGAAGACAGGAACAGGGTAAGAGAGAGAAACCAAGGGAAAAGGACAGAAGAGAAAGGAAAATGGAAGGAAGGAATAAGAAAAACACATGAGTAATTACTTTCTGCATCCTGGTTAGGAGAGACACGCCTAAATCCTAAGACTGGGGGAAGTTAGAGAACAGGCCTGCACTGGGCATCAGGGGACAAGCTATGCTACAACCTGCATCAATGCCAAGGCAATATCTGTCCTGGAAGAAAAGGTCACCCTGTGTACCTGGGTATCCCAAAGCTCACTGTGGACTGAATGACCAGAGCAGGAGGGGAGGAGGGAAAGGGGTCTTATGCCACACAGGTGTCCAGACTGTACTCTCTGCCCCAGGAAGTACCACTCTTTCCTCCCACCATCTCATAAGGCCACCTCTGCCCTATCCCCATAGTGCCCAGCCCATTTAGCTTTGGGGAAGACTCTACAGAAGACACAGGGGAGCAAACTAATAGCATGAAAGATCTGGAGTAGTCGAAGCCACAGAGCTATGGATTCCAGGCCAGCAGGGGCATGGGTGTGAGTGGATGGCAGCTGGGGGATACGGGAGACAGAGCTTGACCCTAGGAATATTGGAAAAACAATAAGGCCTGCAATGGTAGCCCTTCCCCCACTCAGAAAACTTTCCTGGACTTGAAAGAATGAGGATTCTTTGATTCAATAGTTTTACTTTTCTTGAATAGCACTGCTAAGCCTGTCAACAAACCTTGGTAGAGAATCATTACTCAGATGTTACTTATGCCAGGAAAAGTGGGTAACAAACTTCGGCATTCAACGATATAGAATCCCTTTAACAAATTATGGTCTGTCCACATGCTGGAATATGGAGACCTTGATTGTTATGTTGTGGAAGAAATTTGATGATGAAAATGCTGACCCCAGAATGCGTAAAGTAGAGGGAGATTAACCCTGGAGGCTGGGATTAGGGTGAATGTCGTTTCACTCCCATCCTCTTCTATCATTTCTCCAATGAGAAATCCTCTCTTACTGTCCTATCTATCCAATCTTATCCTCTACTATAATTTCTCCATGTTTTCCATTTACAATCAGAACAAAGCAATCAATGATCTCCCTTTCCCCAAAAGGAACAGGATTCATCACTCAGTGTTTGAGGTGGAGTCCCTTCAGCTCTCCAAGCCCCAGTGTCCTGGTGAGTCAAGTGGGGATCATCTTAAAGCCCTCAACAGGGACAAGTGTGAAGGAACCAGTAAGAGAATGCTGAGATCAGAAGCCTGGATCCTGCCCGGCCCCATCCCCGATGGTCTCATGCCAACTGTCAGGACCCCACATTCTCCAGAGACTGGGCTCTAACCACAGGCTGGACTCCTCTAACCCTGGGCCCAGCCACAGCCACTCTAGGACTTCTGCTCTGGAAAATGGAAAGCTCAAGCCCCTGAAAATAAAAGTCTTGGGAATGTTCCCAGTTAGCAGATACTAGGTCTTCCCTAGTGACACACAGAGAAGAGAAACAAACAGGCATGAGGAGGGATTGAGGTGGTACCTCTGTCCCCCACATGCTCCTTTGCCCACTGGGCAGGTGCAGCAATGCTCTCTGTCTTGGTGATGTCCGTGGTCACCATCTCCAGCCTGTCTGAAGCCTGGCCCTTAGCTGCTTGGCCCCCTTCTCTGTCCTACACGCAGCTCCCACAAGCCTTGTGCATCCAACTGTCTGGCCAGCAGGTTCCTGAAGCATGAGTCACAGCTCATGATGAACACATACTTGTCTCTCAGGTGACTCACCACCTGCCTCTCCCTGTACCAGTGCAGAAGGTAGTACAGGCCCAGGAGGGCCGCCAGGTAGCGCCACATGGCTTTGCAGACGACAGGTAGGCTGGGGTGAAATGAGAGTCTGGCCTCTGTTGAGACAGGAGGATTTAAGAACTCAGAGGGCTGTGGTAGGCAGGGAAGCCCTCAGGCAATCTGGCAGAAAGTCCTCACTTTCCTCCCTGATCACTGTCTTTCTGCAACGTTTTTTTAAAACCTGGTTTCATCTCTCTACTATTTGAACTGCCTTTGCAAATAGTCATGCCTGCAATTGCAAACACCAAGTCCTGCCCAGTAGGAAACTATTATGACTCAGCAATGCTTCCCTAGTCTGCAAATTTCTCTCTGTGACCACACAGATGTTTATGTGGGTGCAAACATGTGTATTCACACAGGCTCACACAGCTGCCTGCACACACTCTCCATGGCAAACATACCCCTCTGCTCTAAGTACAAGGGTCTGAACTGTCTCTACAAAGCTGCTATACTGACACTCCTGGTCCATGGTCTCCTGAACACAGAAAGACATTATTGGGAAGCTACACATGCTTTCCAGGCACGTTAGGTGGAAATCCCTCTCTGAGCCTGAGTTTCCTCATCCTGCTCGGCAACCAGACTCAATCACTTCTCAGAAAACTGGGTCATGGTCAGGGTCTCTAGGATGAGAAGGAGAAGCCGAAAGAGTGGACAGGAAGAAATCTTCTCCTGCCATAATAGTTTTCTGGGCCAGAGGAGTGCAGGATCCCATGGGGGGAGTCTGACATCTAGGGTAAAGAAAGTGGAAAGAAGGGAATGGAGACTTGGAACCCACAGGAAGGAAACATCCAGGGATACTGGGAGGGGAAATGGAAGGACTTCCACACGCAAGTGTCCCAGGGCTCACCCGCTCACGTCCAGATATGACCTGTGCCCAGCCCTGGGTGCTAGCTGCACTGCCCTCTGCCCTCCCCTGTCAGGGCCCACATCCAGAATCTTCTCAGTGACCAGGGTTTCCTTCAACTGTACATTGTCAAGGGCCATGCACAGAGATATTTCCCAACCTTCACACCCACTGCTCCACTCTTATTCATCCTGAGAGTAACAGGACCCTTGCCTGGGGTGACAGCTGCTCCCCAGACACTCCAGTTGGGAGCAATCCCTGGAAGTCCCAGAGGGGGCAGTGAGAGGGAAGAGGTGTCTGGGAGACACCGCCTCACCCCAAATGTGAAATCCCTCAGATTTGCCTCTGGCTTGCAGATTTCCTCCCCATTACCTAAGTCCTTCGACAACCAAAATGAGTGACTGAGGCTTAAGTCTGAATCATCCAGGGTTACTAAGGCAGCTTCAGGGTGTCTTGGAACTGCACCGAGATTCTCTCGCCCTGCACAGCAAAGCCAAACACTGACATCGGGATAGCGGCAAGGGAAAGTGAGCTATTTATTGCAGGGCCCCAAACAAGGAGAATTGGGCAGCTCAAACATAAGACCCTAAGTCCCCTATGGTGCACAGGTAAGGGCCAAGATCAGGGGCCAGAAGGGAAGACTCTTGATGTTGGGACTCAAAGACCCCGTGCTCCTGAGAGGGGACCAGGACAGCAAAGAGAAGGAGTGAGGCAGCTTCTGTGGCTCCCCTGGCCTCTGTGGGATTGGGCCCCAGTTCCTGCACAGGTCCCTCAGACTGGACCTGGCTCCCTGTCTGAGGAAAGAGGCCTGGAAGGAGGAGAAAAGGAGAGACTCTTATTTTGCTAAGAGTCAAAAATAGGGGCCTTGGACTGGTTTTCACTAGACTTTTCATGGCCATTATTGCTCTGTGGTGTCAATGCTCCACCTATGGCTCACAGGAGATGATGTGGGCCGTGGATCCAGTTTCGGTGCAGCTTCACCTTCAGGCGAGCCCAGGCCAAGGTTTGTGCCCTGACCATGATCTGCCTCTCGGGAGAGGACTCCTGGGGTGAGTCACAACTCCTGCACACCTACCCAGTGAGTGATGAATTAAATCAGCAATCATTTATTCATTTTTGTTTTGTGTGTGTGGTTGGCTTTGTGTATGTGTGTCTGTGCACAGGCAAGTGTATGTCAAGAGGGTAAAATAATCAAAGCTTCCACACTATGGAGGCTTCAGATTAAATATCAAGCTTTTGCTTTGCTTTGGGGGAGACAACATGGATTGACCTTGATTGAGCTGGCATAAGAGCATTCAGGGGCTTGGAGCCTCCTGAGGACCCTCCCTGGTCATATTTGTATTGTTGTCAGAAAAGACGGTGCTGATCCAGACCCCAGGAGCAGGTTCTTGGATCTCACATAGGAATGAATTCAAGGCGAGTCACAGAGCACAGTGACATAAGCAAGTTTATTGGAAACTACTCTGTTAGAGAGTAGGGCATCCTCAGAAAGCAGGAGGAGGAGGAGCCAGCCTTTGTTAGTGCCTTCCTTAAGACTGCGCACTAGCAAACCAGCAGGAGCTATGATTAAACTTAGAATTGTGCAGAAGTGCTAACTAACGATAGGGGCTATTGATGTTATCAATGACCATTAGTCCTTTAAGGAAACTGTTCTCATTAATGTTATCTTTAAGCAAAGTGAGCAGCACTCTTAGGACACCTGGATATTCCACAGGCCAGGGGAAATATGTTCTGTATAGCCATACATATTCTGTAATTATAATTGGTGGTCAACTTGTAATATGCCTATTTTCAGACTATAAGTATTAACCTTAGAGGTGCCTTGTGAGTGCCTAGCTATTCACTTCAAGATGGAGTCACGCTATCATGTTTTATTAAGCCAGAGACCTGGTAAGCAGGTGTTCCTCTGACAGTATCTTCAACATTCACATGTCTGACACCAATGTTCATTACATGTTCTATATCAAATGGCCCTGCAACATCTGACCTCACTCTCGGTTTTACAATGAACACCAATTTGTTCAACAACATAGGGTTCCCTAAAGGCTCCATATGCTGGATTTTCATCCTGAAGAAAGACAACTGATATGCCTGGGAAGGTACCTACAAAATAAAATTTATACTGAGACCAGGAATCTGTACCCCTCTCTCCTAATGCTTTCTGTGTTGAGTCCACACTTGCAAGATCATCAGAACACTGAAGATATTGACAGCTGGGGTCCCTGGAAACAATGGCAATTCAAGGAAATTTCTGTCCAGCACACAGCAGGGACTCAACAAAGGGTAGCATAAAGTCAAAGATGAGCCCAGAAGTGACTGTCATTCCCTGCCACTGGAGGAGTTGGTGTGTTGGGATATGGTGGAGGACCTGAGAGATGGCACAGGGAAAGTGCAATGACTTTTAAGTGAGGGCCAGTCACTGAGGGCCACAGAAGGCACAGGTGAGGAGCAGAGGCCTCAGTTACCCCAGAGAAGGGACATGGGGCCTGTCAGTGCCTATTGACATCTCCTTGCTGGCTCATCCTTAGGTCTATTTCTGTGACCTGAGGATGTTCCAACATCCATAGAAAGAAAACAATTGTTCCTTATCTCGGTGGCAAGAATGGCTGGGAGAGGGCAGGGTAACTTTCCTCTTCAAATCCACTCTCAGGTCATGCCTCTCATCCCTGGCCTCCAGGAAGGTGCCTGCCTTTTCCTGCCACTGTTCTCTAAGGCCACCCAAAATGTAGAAGCCACTTTGGAACTGGGAAACAGGAAGAGGTTGGAACAGTTTGGAGGGCTCAGAAGAAGACAAGAAAATGTGGGAAAGTTTGGTACTTTCTAGAGACTTGTTGAATGGCTTTGATCAAAATGCTGATAAGGACATGGACAATGAATCCAGGCTGAGGTTCTCTCAGATGGAGATGAGGAACTTGTTTGGATTGTTTGGAACAGGAGGAAAGTGATTCATTACATTTTAGCAAAGAGACTGGTGGCATTTTGCCCCTGCCCTAGAGATCTGTGGAACTCTGAACTTGAGAGAGATGATTTAGGGTATCTGGCAGAAGAAATTTCTAAGCAGCAAAGCATTCAAGAGGTGATTTGGGTGCTGTTAAAGGCATTCAGTTTTAAAAGCAAAAAGGATGATAAAAGTTCAGAAATTGTGCAGCCTGACAATGCAACAGAAAAGAAAATCTCATTTTCTGAGGAGAAATCCAAGCTGGCTACAGAAATTTGCATAAGGAACAAGAAGCCAAATGTTAATCCCCAAGACAAGGGGCAAAATGTCTTCAGGGCATGTCAGAAGTCTTCACAGAAGTCCCTCCCATCATAGGTCAGGAGGCCTAGGAGGAAAAAGTGGTCTCATGGGCCAGGCCCAGGGTCCCCATGCTGTATGCAGCCTGGGGACTTGGTGCCCTGCATCCCAGTTGCTCCAGCCATGGCTGAAATGGGCCAATGTAGAGTTTGGGCCATGGCTTCAGAGGGTGCAAACCTCAAGCCTTGGCAGCTTCCATATAGTGTTGAGCCTGCCAGTGCACAGAAGTGAAGAATTCAGGTTTGGCAAATGTCCATCAATGACAGACTGGATTAAGAAAATGTGGCACATATACACCATGGAATACTATGCAGCCATAAAAAAGGATGAGTTCGTATCCTTTATAGGGACATGGATTGCAGCTGGAAACCAACCTTCTCAGAAAACTATCGTAAGAACAGAAAACCAAACACTGCATGTTCTCACTTATAGGTGGGAATTGAACAATTCCCACTTGGACACAGGAAGGGGAATATCACACACCAGGGCCAGTTGTGGGGTCGGGGGAAGGGGGAGGGATAGCATTAGGAGATAACCCAATGTAAATGATGAGTTAATGGGTGCAGGACACTAACATGGCACATGTATACATATGTAACAAACCTGTACATTGTGCACATGTACCCTAGAACATAAAGTATAATTTTAAAAAATTGGGGTTTGGAAACTTCTGGCTAGATTTCAGAGCACGTATGCAAATGCCTGGATGTCCAGGCAGAAGTTTGCTGCACGGGCGAGTCTCTCATGGAGAACCTCTGCTAGGACAGTGTGGAAGGGAAATATGGGGTGCTGGGGCACTGCCTAGCAGAACTATGAGAAGAGGGCCACCATGCTGCTTTTAGGGTCCCATCTCTACCCTTGGCCTTTGGGAGTCTATTATCTTCTTTGGGTTAAATCTGCTTGGTGTTCTATTACCTTCCTGTACTTGCATATTGATATGTTTCTCTAGGTTTGGGAAGTCCTCTGTTATTATCCCTTTGAATAAACTTTCTACCCCTATTCTCTTTCTCTACCTCCTTGTTAAGGCCAATAATTCTTAGAATTGCCCTTTTAAGTCTATTTTCTAGATCCTGAAGGCATGCTTCATTGCCTTTTATTATTTTTTTCTTTTATCTCCTCTATGTTTTTTCAACTGGCCTGTCTTCAAGTTCACTAATTCTTTCTTCTGCTTTATCAATTCTGCTGTTAAGGGAATTCTGATGCATTTTGGAGTATGCCAATTGGATTTTTCAGCTCCAGAATTCCTGCATGATTCTTTCTAATTATTTCAATCTCTCTGTTAATTTTTTCTGATAGAATTCTAAATTTCTTCTCTATATTACCTTGAATTTCCTTGCGTTTCCTCAACACAGCTATTTAAAATTTTCTGTTTGAAAGGTCACATATCTGTTTCTCCAGGATTGGTCCCTGGTCCCTTATTTACTTCATTTGGTGAGGTCGTGTTTTCCTGTATGGTATTGATGCTAGTAGATGTTCTTTGGTATCTGGGCATTGAAGAGTTATGTATTTATTGTAGTCTTCACTCTCTGGGCTTATTTGTTAGCCATCCTTGTAAGGCTTACCAAATATTTGGAAAGACTTGAGTGTTGTGATCTAAGCTGTATCTGCTCTAGGGGGCACCCCACACCCGGTAATGCTATGGTTCTTGCAGAACCTCGTAGAGGTACCACCCTGATGTTTGGGACAAGATCTGAGAGAATTCTCTGGATTATCATGCAGAGACTCTTGTTCTCTTCCCTTACTTTCTTCCATATATACAGAGTAATTCTGTGTGTGTTTGTTCTGAGATATCTAAAGCTCGGGGCGAAGTGACACAAGCACCCATGTGACACCACCACTATGACTGCATTGGGTCAGACTTGAAGCCACCACAGTGCTGGGTCTCAACCAAGGCCTGCTGTAACCAGTCCCTGGCTACTGCCTATGTTTGCTCAAGGCCCAATCAGCAGGTAGCAAAGATAGTTACGCCTGTGTCCTTCTGTCAGAGCAATGAGTTCCCCCAGTCTCTGTGTGGTTCCAGAAGTGCTGTGCAGGAATCAAGGGCTAGAGTCAAAAACCTTAGAAATGTACCTGGTATTCTACTGGATTACAGCTGAGCTGGCACTCACACCACACAACAAATCCTTCCCACTCTTCTCTTCCTTGTCGAAAGACAGAGGAGCCTGACCTCACAGTCACCACCACTCCAGGCCACATGGAGTACCACTAGACTCCCATCTATATTCCCTTAAAGCCCAAGGTCTCTTAAGTCATCTTGTGGTGAATGCTGCCTGGCCTGGGACACACCATTCATATTAGTGGGCTCCCTATTGGACCAGGGCGGGTCCAGAAAATGCCATCCAAGAGTCAAGTCCTGGAATCACAAACCGCAGTAGTCTGCTTGGTGCTCCACTCCACTGTGGCCGTGCTGGCACCTAACGTGCAAGACAAAGTCTCCATTACTTTTCCTTTCACTTATCTCAAACAGAAGGCCTCTCTCTCCATAGCCACCAGAGCTGGGAATGTCCCTAATCTTACCTGAAGCCAGCAAGTCTCAGAGGCTCACCCAAAGCCCTTGATGTAGTACCTGGCTATCAATGCTGGTTATTTGCGGCCCAAGGTCTCTTCAGATGGCAGGTGTTGAATGCTGCCAGCACTGGGTCCTTTCTTTGAAAGCACTGGGTTGTATTCTTGCCCAGGGTCTGTCTAGAAATGTCATATGGGAGCTAGAAATTGAAATGGGGGTCTCCTGATTCTGATCATTGCCCTATCTTGCTGTGGCTGAGCGGGTATCCAAGATGCATTATGAAATCCTTCCCACTCTTTTTCCCTCTCCTCTCCTCAAGTGGAAGAAAGGGGTCTCCTTTGGAACCTCAAGCTGTGCAGCCTGGGGTCAGGGGAGAGGTGATGTCAATATTCCCCTTTGCTACTCCAGCTTGTGTCTCAGTATGTCACCTGTCCCCTAATCCAGTGCCTCTGGGCCTATTACTGCACTTCCCATAGCCTATGAGGGGCAGTCCTTATGGCCTAGACTTCCTTTTCAAGTTTACTTGGAGACACAGAGCATGGTAGCCTTTGGTGGCAAGGTTTGCAGGCACTCAAGTCAGGTCTGCTGTGATCAGAGATTCCCCTGTGGCACTAGGCCTTGCCTATGAGTTGCAGCTCTTATGGCCTAGACTGCCATTTAAGTTTATTTGGAGACATGGGGTGTTGTAGCCCTTGGTATTGAGGTTTTCCAGCACTCAAGTCAGGATTGCTAGGATCGGTGATTCTCCTGTGGCTAGGGCTGGTTTAAATGCTCCCTCCAAGGATGGGCATCAGATGAGTTTGGTCTGGGTTTTCTTTCTGCTCTAACAGGATAGCACTGAGTTCAGTGCCTCACAATTGCTATGTTCTCCCTCCAGCAGCACCCAGAGAGGTTTTCAGCACCATGCCTCCACTGCCAGGGTTTGGAGAGCAGTAGTGTCTGTGATTCACAACTGTTTTTTTTCTATCTCTTCAGTGCCTCTTTCAGCAATATGAGGTTGAAACCAGGTTAAAGAGTTTTCACCTGATTGTTGGTTCTTATGAACATGTTTTTTGATGCAGAGATAGTTGTTTTGTTTGTTTTTGTTTGTTTGTGGGTTTTTTTTGAGACGGAGTTTTGCTCTTGTCCAGGCTGGAGTGCAATGGTGCGATCTCGGCTCACTGCAACATCTGCCTCCCGGGTTCAAGCGATTCTCCTGCCTCAGCCTCCCAAGTAGCTGGGGTTACAGGTGCCCACCACCACACCCGGCTGATTTTTTTGTATTTTTAGTAGAGATGAGGTTTCACCATGTCGGACAGGCTGGTCTCGAACTCCTGACCTCAGATGATCCACCCGCTTTGGCCTCCCAAAGTGCTGGGATTACAGTCGTGAGCCACCACGCTCGGCCAGAGATAGTTGTTAACTTGGTGTCCTGGTGTGAGGTGGGGAAGAGAGAATGATCCGTGAAGCCTTCTACTCCACCATTTATCTCCAACCGCTCCTCCGTGTGTGTGTTTTGTTTGTGTGTTCGTTCGTTGTTTTTTGTTTTGTTTTGTTTTGTTTTTTTGAGATGGGGTCTCACTCTATCACCCAGGTTGGAGTACAGTGGCACAATCTCAGCTCACTGCAAGCTTTGTCTCCCAGGCTCAAGTGAGCCACCTACCTCAGCCTACCAAGTAGCATACACCAACACACTCAGCTAATTTTTTGTATTTTTAATAGAGATCAGGTTTCACCATGTTGCCCAGGCTGGTCCGTAACTCCTGAGCTTAGGTGATCCACCCCCCTCAGCCTACAAAGTGCTAGGATTATGGGCATGAATCACTGTGCCAGGTTTCATTGCGTGTTTTAAATTCAGTGGCCCAGCAACATCTGACCTCAATCTCTGTTTCTACAATAAACACTGATTTGTTAAACAACATGGGGCTTCCTAGAGGCCCCATATCCTAGACTTCTACCCTGAAGAAAGAAAAACCTGGGGAGTTACCTCATCTACCATTTGTGCTGAGTCCAGGAATCTGCACCCTTTCCCCTAATGCTTTCTGTGTTGAGTCCACACTTGCGACATCATCAGAAAACTAGACACTGAGGATGAGGACCAGGTCATTCAAGGGAATTTCTGTCCAGGACACAGCAGGGGCTCAACAAAGGGAGGGAAAATACGAAAGATGAGTCTAGCAGTGACTCTCACTCCCTGTCACTGGAGGAGTGGGTGTGATGGGACATGGTGGGGGACCTGAGTGATGGCACAGGGAAAGTGCAATGACTTTGAAGTGAAGGTCATGTCAATATGGCTGTTGAGGTCACCTTGCTGGCTTATCCTTGGATCTATTTCTGTTACCCAAGTCTACTCCAGGACCCTTGGAAAGACAACAATTGCCCCTCACCTTGGTGGCAAGAAGGGACGGGAGAGGGCAGGGATAGTCCAACTTCTCTCTTCAAATCCATTCTCAGGCCATGCTGCTCATCCCCTGATATTCAGGAAGGCACACGCCTCTTCCTCCCACTGCTCCCCAAGGCCACCCAAATCTAGGGAAAGGGCATCTTCAGGAGTGAAAGGGTAAAAACTCTGACACCCACTGTGAAAGTCACTCCATTCCTCCCTCCCAGCAGCTTAGGAGTTCCCATCCCCATTCCCTCTTTCCCCCTTCTTTGCCTCTAAGATCAGACTTCCCTGTTGGGATCTTGTTCTCCTTCTAGCAGAGAATTCCAATATTAGGAGGAGATCTATTCCTGCTCACTCTTTTCTGCCTTTGACTTGTAGTCCTAGAGAGGCTGACAGTGACCTGGATTTCTGGATGGAGTGATTCTGGCTCCTGAGCAAAGGCGGGAACCCAGACTCAGAGAGGGATTGCAATCTCATGTGTCTGGTATCCAAGTGTAACTTCACAAGAACATTCAAATCACTGCACATGGGTGAAACTATCAACTTTTTCAACATCAAAACAATCAAAGGAAGTGCATGCTTTCAAGACAAATAAAAAACTGATTTATTTGTCCTCTGCACAGATCCCTACTGAGGACACCACCTTCCAGCCACTGCTGCTGGGATGACTCGTGAGGCCTATGGGGCCATGTAATGGTTGCGCTCCCGGTCCCAACACTATGTATACAAGGATCTTCAGAGAAGGGGTCCCCTCACGTCTCCCAAGCCATTTCCACCCCATGGCCTAGACTGGCCCAGAATTAACACACAGCCTGATAAGGAAGCAGGAGGTAATGGCATGGGCTGAGGCTCCTTCCACCTGCTCATACTCACCCCAGTTGTTAGCACAAGAGGCTTGGACCCTTGAGTGGCCACCTAAGGTGACAATGCACCCAGGAGCACTATTTGGTTCCTGTTTCTCAGCTGCTTAACTTGAAACTTTCCTACCAACATCTTCAGAGAGCAGAATTATCTCCCAGGAGAATCATGGACAGGAGGTAATGCAGGAAGTGAGATCAGTGCCCTACTGACCTGACAACGGCCTCCCTCCACTTTATTTCTCTCCCAAGGATACATCACCCCTCATAGCACACCCCAAATCCATGCAACCATGCACCTGATCCTTGGCTTCATAGAGCCTTGGCCGGGCTTGGAGAACCCCAGTAGATAATGGCATCCACCAGGAAAGTGGGCATGTAGCTCATGGGGAGGTAGAGAAGCTTGGCATCCCAGCCAGCTGAGTAGCGAGTGCGGGGGTGGCAGGCAATCAGCGCATGCTCCATGCAGTTGGTCACCAAGGACAAATCCTGTGTGCAAGTCTGCTCCAATTGTTCAGCTGATTTCTTATCTGTTAAGAATGAGAAATGATCCATGTGTATTTCCACCTGTAACCGCTCCTGCTTTGGATTCAACTTAGAGTGGAAAGGGTCTAAGAACTCATGCCACCCCACAACCCCCAGTCAAGCATTGTCTCAAATCTCTTTTATCCAAATTCCCTGAGTTGGAGCCCATCCATGGGAAAGTAACAAGTGTTCCACACTAAGTCATGTTTGTCTCTCTTCGGGAATATCTGGACTGCATAAATGATGGTCTCCTCCCACAGAAGTCTCAGCACATGTAAATCAGCTATCTCTAATTCCAGCTTGTTATCAGTTACCAATGCCTCCCTTTCTGGCTTCACTTTGCTCCTCAATAACGATATTGGGTTCAGATAGACACTGGTCCCAAGTTCTGAGAAGCCTGGATACTTGCTTTTCATGACCAGTTGACCACACAGTACCCATCATGGAAATGGGGCTAAAGGTCTCCACTTTGTGGGTAAGGAAGAGCCTGGAGATCAAACTCTAATGGTCTTCAGACACCAATGGTAGACCAGGGATTCCACATGAGGGTTTGCTTCTCTCCCCACTCTCCACAGCTTACTCACAGGATGCAACAAACTTCTCGCCATAGATCTGCTTGACCTCTGGGCTGGACTGGTCCCAAATCTCCAGGAAGCTCTTTAAGAATCTCTCTTTACTGGTCACAGCAGTCTTGAAATAGCCAGGCTCAATCATAGCCACTTTCACCCCAAAGTAGGATAGTTCCCTCCTGCAAGAAAGAGAAGCAAAGGGGAAAGATTTCAGGGGTCATGGAAGGTAAAACACAAACAATAAAAGTAAAACTATGTTAGCACAACATATGAGGACAACGGGTGAGATAGAAAGCTTGGAATATTTATTTTCCAGCAATCAAGGGGTCATAGTTATGATGGAATCATTGCCTCTGTATGGGGTTTCCATATTTTACACACCTGAGCTTATTAACCCTAAATCCTACCAATTCCAAAGCAAGGCAGCACCTTAGTGCTGTCTCCTCTTATGTCGCTCACATCCAGTGGACCACCAGAATTCCCATATTTTGCCTCCTCTCCAGTCCTCAGTCCCCTCCCTCCTCTTCCTGCCCCAGGAATCTCCCTGGCCTCTGAGCTGGGTGATGGCAGCTGTCCTCTAAGAAGCATCTGTCTTCAGTCTGGCTCCCCACTTTCAGCCACTGGGCTTCCTGCAGTCAGCGGGTGTCTAGAAGCTGATTAGACCAAGGAGCAAATCCCTTTTTTGGGGGGTTCCACTCCCAACAGCATAAAGCACAGCTCCTGTTCAGGACCCACAGGCCATCAAGGAGCCCACCTATGCCCACCTGCCCAGCATCCCCCACCAGGCCTGGCCTTGACCTTCACCACAAGAGGACTCTGCAGTACATGCAGGTGGCTAATGCTCACACTGGGCCTGGGCTGATGGCATTCCTTCATCCAGGATCCCTTCACAGCCTTCCTTACCAGGCTGCCAGGTGGAGTTCTCAATCCCCAGCTCAAGTTCTCAATCCCCAGCTCAGACAGAATCTCCAAGACTCTCCCCAACTCAGGTGGGTACCATGGCCAGCAAGGTTGACTTGATCACCAACCTTATAAGCATTGGCAGCTGATTCTAGATCTCTTGTCCCTCTCTCAGGTATCAAGATTTAGTTCAAAGACAAAACCTTGTTGTTGATTAAGGATGGATTTTTTGTCACTTAGACAAGGGCCTAAAGCATCTGTTGTGTGGACTCAGATGCTCTACCCATTGTCAAAGGGGCTCTGAACATGAATTCTGCTGGGAAAGGCCATCTTCTGCATGCTGTCTTTAGGTTCCAGAGAGCCACGAAGGAATGGCCTCAGCACTTGAAGCGTTTCTCTCCCTAGAGAGGAAGAGCCCCAAAGCCAGGCACCCATCTCCTGGTGTGGAAATATCTTTCCCTGTTTCTGACTCAGTGAGTGCTCCTGCATCTGCCTGAGCATGTGTGTCTCTGCGGCACTAAGGCATGCCCCAGCTTTACAAGTATTTCAGATTCCAGGTAGGAGGGGTCAGGGTCCATCTACTACAGCAAGAGAGGGGTGTGAGCAAGCCACATGCCCATTGTCAGCTGCCGGGAAAGCCTCCCTGGCCAGGGGACCAACACACACTGTTGTACTGATCTTTCTCTGCTCCTTCTCTAGGGTGCAAAGCATTCTTCCATCCAGTGCTGACTGCCTGGTCTGCCTTTGTGGCTCCAATACCAAGGTGCAATGGGAAGAAATGTTTAGGGTCCTTCCCTGGGATTAGTCATTGATACACAGTATTCTCCTGTCCTTGGCTTGGGAACCTCAGTACTGTGTTCCTCTTGGCAGGATCTGAAGTCAAAGATCCAGGTCCAATTCTGCCTCTGGTAGTTTCTGACCAGGAGATCCATCCAGGGAAGAGGTATCATTCAAGAAACTCTCTGACCTGAGGCCCCTCCTGCCACCCAGCACTCAGGAAGGTGCTTCCCAGTAAATGGCCAGCCCAATCTAGAAAGAGGAAGATAAGAGTGTCACACATGAAGACACAGAGGAATCTCATGAAAGGGCCTTACAGGCTGGGATTCAAGGAACTCCCTGGAAAAGACTTCCCCACAAACACAGGAGCAGGAAGACTAGGGCGGGCCCTGTCCCAGAACCATACCTGAGGGAGTCAGAGAAGGCTTCCACGCCATACTTGGAGATGCAATAGCCTCCACCAAAAAGTGACACCCGGCCACAGATACTGGAGACGTTGACCACACGGCCCCTGGCCTTCCTCACTAAGGGCAGCAGGCTCAGAGTCACGTCGATCACCCCCAACAAGTTCACATCCAATATGGTCACAAAGTCCTGCTTGGTCAGCAACTCATTGGGGGCCGTAGGCAAGGAGATGCCAGCATTATTCACCAGGCCCCAGAGTCCTGGGACAATGGGAAGATGAGAGAGCATCACTGTGTTGTGCCTGTGCAGGTGGACAGTTAGGATGCAACTCACATCCCAATAAAGTGAAGGCAGAATGACAGGTGTGGGATGGGAAGGAGGGTAAAACAAGCACCACAGTATCTGCAGGGGTTGGGGCTGGACATTCAGCAGCTGGTGGGCCATGGAACCCAGTTCTTTTTCCATTTACTCTTCAGGGCCCAGCCCATTGCCTGAAAGACAATAAGCTATTACCTCTATTTAAGGATTGCATGAAATCATGTTAAAGAACTATTGTCCATGTCTGGAAACATGAAGACCAATGTTTGGTTAGTTAAACATGAATGTTGCTGACATTATAGACATTCACCTGCATTTTCAGGTATGCTAACAGCTTATATAGTGAGTGTTCCACAACCATCTGTTCATGGAATAAGAGACATGAGAGGGGGAGAGTGAGGGAGAGAGGGAAGACAGAAAAAGACAGACCTGAAATCCTAGGCTTAGGGGAACTTGGAGAACATCCTGTGTTTGATCTCAGGGCACTGGTCTTGAAACATCCTGCATCAATATCCAGTAACATTTTTATAGAAAGCACTGGGGAATTCCAATGCAAAGGCTTTGGGAAGAAAGCAAGGTTGCATCACCCCTCTCAGTACACAGACTCCACCGTCTGCCCCATAAAATGTCACCCTCTCCTCCTACTGCATCAGAAGCCCACTCTTCATCCTTCCCTTTGGTCCCAAGTTCACTCAGCTCTGGGAAAATCTCTCTGGAAGATGCAAATACATAATCCCCAAGACTTCAAGTCAATAGAGTTTTCAACGCATAGAACTAGGGGGCAGGAGAACAGGGTCCCTTGAGTCTGGGCAGGGGGTGGCAGTTGTTGATCTGGAAGGGTTGGCCTAGGCATATGAATCCATCCCCTGCTCAGTAACAGGCCCTGCCCTGATGCAAATGTAGATTCCTCCACCCAGACATCTCACACTTATAGAGATGCTGGCCAATAAAAGTCCACCAAGACGACATTTATGATGATAAAAAGCAGGAAGGAATTTCATATCCAACCACTCAGTATGGTTTACATAGGTAGGCTATTGGAATGATACAGTATTCTAAATAATTAGATACAATTTTATAAAAATGGTCATTATGGTGTAAAAAATGTTCATCTTCTCCAGAGAATCTAAGCTGACTGAAACTAAGAAAAAAGTATAAAATCCTAAATATGTATAATTGTAAAAAGGACTTATGTATGGATGACAATTTCAGGGAAACTTTTGTTTTCATCTTTATTCTTTTCAGTATTTTCAACAAAGATCATGTTCTGCATTTATTGCTACATAAAATAAATCCATGTTTCTTTCTTCCCCTGTAATAAGACAGATGAATTAGTGTAGTGAAAAGAAGAAAGAAAGAAAAAGTAACCCCTTACTAGTTCTGCTTTCCTTAAGCAGTCCTTATGCTGATACCCTCCTCTGAAGATGGAGATGGTTGTAGCTCTTGGTGGATGCTGATAGGCCCTAGCAAGAACAAGGTAAAGTGCTGGGAACACAAGCCTGGATCCAGCACAGCCACGGCCTCCGTGCACACTTGCAGCCCTGTGCTCCCTTCTCAACCATGCTCCAGCAAGTCTCCAGATCTCTAACCCAGGCTCTCAGCATCAAACAATCCATGACTTCTGCTTAGACAGGAGGGAGAGGATAGAGAGGAATTCTGGAGAGAAAATCTCATCAGGGCAAACTCTCCCCAAGACTATACACCTCCAATGTCGGGATAGGTTAAGGATTAGAAAGAGATGGGGCTCAGGCCAGCGTGATTAGTGAGAAATACTAGAAAGCTACTGTCATTTCAACCTGGAAAGACACTGTAGAAATCTTCCCAGGGAGCAGACAGGAGGTGGTCCCTTCAAACAGGGGGAAGACACAGACAGACTTGAGAAATCTGGGTGGTTACCTCTTTCCCCCACGCGTTCCTTCACCCACTGGGCGGCTGCAGCAACACTCTCTGTCTTGGTGACATCCAGGGTCACCGTCTCCAGCCTGTCTGAAGTCTGGCCCCTCAGCTGCTCGGCTCCTTTCTCTGTCAGACACGCAGCCAGCACCCGCAAGCCTCGTGCGTCCAGCTGTCTGGCCAGCAGTTTCCCGAAGCCAGAGTCACAGCCGGTGATGAACACATACTTATCTCTCAGGTGGCTCAGCACCTGCCTCTCCCGGTACCAATGCAGAAGGTAGTACAGGCCCACAAAAACTGCCAGGTAGAGCCACATGGCTTTGCAGAGGACAGACACGGACAGGCTGTGGGGGAACCCAGAGTCTGGCCTCTGTTGACACAGGAGGATTTAAGAACACAGAGGGCTATGGTAGGCAGGGAAACCCTCAGGCATTTTGGTCAGAGTCCTCACTTTCCTCCCTGATGACTGTCTTTCTGCAACATATTTATTCTGGCCCCACCTCTCTGCTCTTTGAACTGCTTTTGCAGTACTCATGCACACCTTTGCACACCCCAAGTCCTGCCCAGTAGGAAGATATTATCATTTGGCAATGTGTCCCTAGTCTCCTGATTTCTCTCACCTTGCTGTGCCCACTACATGCATGCTGTGTCCATGAAGGAGCACACACATATATTCACACAGGAACACACACAGAGCCCACACAGGCTCACACACAGCTGCCCACACACACTCTCCATGGAAAACACACCCCTCTGCTCTAAGTACAGGGGTCAAAACTGTCTCTACAAATCTCCTACTCCAACACCCCTGGTCTGTGACCTTCTGAACATAGAAAGACCTTATTGGGCAGCTACACATGGTTTCCAGGCAGATTAGGTGGAAATCCCTCTCTGAGCCTGAACTTCCTCATCCTGCTCAGCACCTTAGAATACCAATCACTCCTCAGAAAACTAGGGCATGGTCAGGCTCTCTAGGATGAGAAGGAGTAGACAAAGGGTGGGCAGGAACAGGTTCCCTCCTGCTATAGTAGTTTTTTGGGGCAGAAAGATTGCAGGATCCTATGGGGGTGTCCAACCTCAGAGGTAAAGAAAGCACGGAGAGGATGGGCAAACAGGAACAGCTCCAATCTGCAGCTCCCAGCGTGATCAATGTAGAAGACGGGAGATTTCTGCATTTCCAACTGAGGTACCTGGTTCATCTCACTGGGACTGGTTGGACAGTGAGTGCAGCCCACGCAGGGCAAACTTAAGCAGGGCAGGGCATTGCTTCACCCTGGAAGCATAAGGGGTTGGGGGGATTTCCCTTTCCTAGCCAAAGAAAGGCATGACAGACTGTACCTGGAAAAACAGGACACTCCTGCACAAATACTGTGCTTTTCCAACTGTCCTAGCAAACGGCACACCAGAAGATTGTATCCCATGCCTGGCTCAGCATGTCCCACACCCATGGAGCCTTGCTCACTGCTAGTACGGCAGTCTGAGATTGATCTGTGAGGCAGCAGCCCAGCAGGAGGATGGTTGTCCACCGTTGCTGAGGCTTGAGTAGGGAAACAAAGTGGCCAGGAAGCTTAAACTGGGTGGAGCCCACCACAGCACCACAAGGCTTGTTGCCTCTATAGACTCCACCTCTGGGGGCAGGGCATAGCTGAACTAAAGGCAGTAGAAACGTCTACAGACTTAAACATCCCTGTCTGACAGCCTTCACAGCCTCCATGATCGTGATGGTCCCCCGGACCCACTTCTCTCTTTCAAACTGTCTTTTCTCAATCCTTTGACTCTGCCAAACTTTGTCACTCCCATGACCTGGTGTTGGGTCTGGCAACCCCAACATTCGTGGCACCCAACGTGGGGCAACAAAGACCCTGGTGAAGGAACACCAGGGCACGTGAGAGCAAAGGATGCATCATCAAAGGACACCCAAAGATGTCTAAAAGAAGCTTGGCAGAAAAGCTTAGCACTCAGAAGAACCAGAGTAACAATGGGACAAAGTGAAAGCAGACATTCTGCTTATTTAAATTTCTTAAAGCATTTTTTATGAAGAGGGGGAATGAAAGTTAGTACTCAGAATTTGTTAACACTCTAGTGCAGTAAAGCAGTTTTGCCCATGGTTCAGGAACAAGGGACTATGGAGTTAGATGAATGTGAGAGAATTGGCAGAGATTTTTTAAAAGCATATATAGGATAGAATAGTTCCTCCTGCTTCCAAGATGGCCAAATAGGAACAGCACCAGTCTGCAGCTCCCAGTATGAGTGATGCAGAGGACGGGTGATTTCTGCATTTCCAACTGAGGTACAGGGTTCATCTCTCTGGGACCAGTCAGACAGTGGGTGCAGCACACGGAGCAGAGTGGTGCATCGCCTCACCTGGGAAGCACAAGAGATCAGGGAATTCCCTTTCCTAGCAAAGGGAAACTGTGACAGACGGTACTTGGAATATTGGGACACTCCCACCCTAACACTGCAATTTTCCAACGGCCTTAGCAAATGACACACCAGGAGATTATATCCTGTGCCTGGCTTGGAGGGTCCCATGACTACGGAGCCTTGCTCACTGCTAGCACTGCAGTCTGAGATCGAACTGCAAGACAGCAGCAAGGCTGGGAGAGGGGTGTCCACCATTGCTGAGGTAAACAAAGCGACCAGGAATCTCGAACTGGGTGGAGCCTACCACAGCTCAAGGAGACCTGCCTGCCTCTATAGACTCCACTTCTGGGGGCAGGGCATAGCTGAACAAAAGGCAGCAGAAACTTCTGCAGACTTAAACATCCCTGTCTGACAGCATGGAAGAGTGTAGTGGTTTTCCCAGCATGGATTTTGAGATCTGAGAATGGACAGACTGCCTCCTCAAACGGGTCCCTGACCCCCAAGTAGCCTAACTGGGAGACACTTCCCAGTAGCGGCTGACTGGCAACTCATACAGCTGGGTGCCCCTCTGAGACAAAGCTTCCAAAGGAAGGATCAGGCAGCAACATCTGCCGTTCTGCAATATTTGCTATTCTGTAGCCTCTGCTGGTGATACCCAGGAAAACAGGGCCTGGAGTGTACCTCCAGCAAACTCCAACAGACCTGCAGCTGAGGGTCCTAACTGTTACAAGGAAAACTAACAAACAGAAAGGACACCCACACCAAAATCCCGTCTGTACATCACCATCATCAAAGACCAAAGGTAGATAAAACCACAAAGATGGGGAGAAACCAGAGCAGAAAAGTTGAAAATTCTAAAAATCAGAGCACCTCTTCTCCTCCAAAGGAACGCAGCTCCTCACCAGCAATGGAACAAAGCTGGATGGAGAATGACTTTGACAAGTTGAGAGAAGAAGGTTTCAGATGATCAGTAATTACAAACTTTTCCAAGCTAAAGGAGGATGTTCAAACCCATCACAAAGAAGCTAAAAACCTTGAAAAAAGATTAGATGAATGGCTAACTAGAATAAACAGTGTAGAGAAGTCCTTAAATGACCTGATGGAGCTGAAAACCATGGCATGAGAACTACGGGATGCATGCACAAGCTTCAGTAGATGATTTGATCAAGTGGAAGAAAGGGTAACAGTGATAGAGATCAAATGAATGAAATAAAGTGAGCTGATGAGCTGAGGAACTAATGACTAATTGAATTTCTCCGGTATAATCAGAATCAATTATTCCCATATGCACAGTGACAACTTTCAAACTTAGACTAGACTTTCCAAGTAATAAACCAACTGTTTAACCCCCAAAGGGACCTTTTTTGGTGATTCTCCAGGAAGCAAGCAGATGGGAATTGTGCTGCAGAGGTCTATGACGGCACTGCCTACTGTGGCAGGGGACAATTGTTGTACATTTGTAAGGGCACTGGCTGTGCTGGATATGCCTCGGTTTGTTGAGGGGCCCAAGGCAGGCCACTCTTCCCATATCCCGAGACAGGTTGTCCATCTTTGCTAATTTTACAATGACACTGACTTGCCCAGTGATTGCCTTTTTCACAATGGAGGCATATACTGGGGCTTTTCTGTTGTTTGATGGTAGTAGCTCTCACCTTTTGGCTTCCTTTTCTGCATTCCTTTTTTGTGTGTCCAAATTGCACACAATTGAAACAAGAGCCTGAGAAATTGGGCATATTCTTTCTGACTTTTAATCCAGCCATAGCTTGAGCTAAAAGAGTAGCCTTATGTTAAGTTACCTCCAATGCCATTGCAAGCCTTAATATATTCAGCTAACTGAGCCTTCCCTCTCAGGGGTCTAATAGAAGTTTTACACTCTGCATTAGCCTTATTGTATGCAAGCCTCAGCAACGGTGGACAACCATCCCCCTGCTGGGCTGCTGCCTCACAGATCAATCTCAGACTGCAGTACTAGCAGTGAACAAGGCTCCATGGGTGTGGGACATGCTGAGCCAGGCATGGGATACAATCTTCTGGTGTGCCGTTTGCTAGGACAGTTGGAAAAGCACAGTATTTGTGTAGGAGTGTCCTGTTTTTGCATACAATAAGGCTTGAGCTGCTTGAGCTGCTTTTTCAGTTATGGCTTTATACACAGCCTCTTGGAGCCGAGCAATAGACTCAATATATGATTCTTTAGGTCCCTGTCAGACAGAACTGAAGGAAGGATATTTTCACCCTAAAACATTTATCCTTTCCCATGCTCATAAGCATACAGAGCGCAGTTGAGCAACAGCAATATCCTCCATTACTGCTTGATTTTCTAGTCAACCCCAATCAGGTCTGACTCTCATTAACTGTTCAAAGAAAACAGTCACAGGTGGTTGTGTTCATGTATTTTCCCTTGCCTGAGTTTGAGCTTCATCAACCCACCAGGTTTTAAACTGAAAGTACTGAGATAGAGTGAGAACAGATTTTGTTAAAGTATCCCAATCATATGGTATTAATCTATTATCAAAAGAAACATTTTTAAATAAAGTTTGCAAAAAAGGAGAGTTTGGCCCATATTGACTAATGGCTTGCTTGAATTCCTTTAACAGCTTAAAAGGAAAGGTAGTCCAATTAGCTATATTCTGTTCTCCCTGCTGGATTATAGTTATGGGAAATTGCCATGCTTCAAGGTCTCCCTTGGCTCTAGCCTTTTGAATAGAATTTTGTATAGCACCACCAGTTTCTCCAGGTTTTAATGTTGCAACTACAGGAGCAGTAAGGTTTGTAGCTAATTCATCTTCTTGCCCATTAAGGGGAGAGAGAGGAGATGGTCTTTCACTTAATTCAGCAAGTGGTGTCGATGGGTTAGTAAAACACACTTTTTTCAGTTTCCCTTTCTTTTCTTTAATTTCCTCCGTTTTCTGTTCCCCACATTCAGAATCTGAATTTAATTCTTTACACTTGTCCTCCTCTTCCTCATCTGAATCTGCCTCATCATCTGTTTGAAATGGCTCAAGAGCTGCTTTTATTAGCACCCACATTGACCAAATCAAGACTGGAATTTTTGCTCCATCTTTATATGCTTTTTATTTTTTTCAAAAGAAGAAATCATGAAGGTTTATTATAGAAAATATAGACATTACAGAAAATTATTTAAAAGGAAATAAGAATCACTTAAATGCAACTTCTGAGAGGTAATACTATTAACACATGGCATGCAACACAACAATTTTTCTTTGTGTATAATCATATGATTTTTTAAGTGTTTGATACAGAATTAGAATCACACTTTTCAAACTGTTTTTTAGTCTGCTTTTCTCCTGTAATTATAAATGATTAACATTTCATTTGTCTTTATGCAACAGTTCATAGAGTGGACTCTGGATCTAGCCTATCTGAATTTGAATCTTGGCTCTGTCACTTACTGTGTGACCCTTGGGCGTGTCCTTTAACTGAAATAGTTTCTGCAAATTCCTCATCTTTAACATAGGGATAATAATGGTTCTTTTCTATTTCCTAGGTGTCTCAGCTGGTTTGAGAAATAAAGGGAAAGAGCACAAGAGAGAGATATTTAAAGCTGGGTGTCCGGGGGAGACATCACATGTTGGCAGGATCTCTGATGTTCCCCAATCTGTAAAACCAGCAAGTTTTTATTTGCGTAATTTATCCCAAGCTCTCATACACACCTTTGTTACTTGTTCCGTGGTAAAAGTATCAAAGTTCAATTGGGCATAAGTATCAGAGGAACTATCAGAGCCTGTGAGCTGAGCTTGAGTAACTAGAATGCCATTAGTCCAATTTAGTTGAGCCTGCAAACCAGCCTCTTCTGACCACCAAGTACGAAATTGTAAATGCTGAGATGGGGTCAGAACAGCTTTTGCCAAAAGGTCCCAGTCTAAAGGAAGTAAAGTGACCTCTGTACAAAGAGTTTGTAATACCATTTTAACATAAGGAGAAGTAGGGCCATACTGAGTACAAGCATCCTTAAATTCTTTTAAAAAGGTAAGATTAAGAGGTACATAATGACGCATTTGTACCCCTTGGAAGTTATGTGGGTCTAGCGCAACCAGACAAGTCCACGTGTGTAATCCACTTGTTTCTTTGTTTTGGCATAGTAAGTGTTGCATTGAAGTTTCAAGAGTAGGCATCTGAGATGGAGTTGGCATAGAAGTGACAGGAAAAGCATGCATAGATAAGGGAAACTGAGGCTGAGAGGGTTGGACTGGAATGAGAGTGTGAGAAAGGGGGATTGGGGGAGCAGGAGGAGCACAAGTATACTGGTGATTACTGGCATTCATGTGTGAAGAAGGATATGAAGCAGCAGTCTGAGTGGATGGCAATGTGACCAGCTGAGGACCTGAAATGACAGGAGGGTGAGGGGCTGAAGTGGAAGGGGGAGGGCCTGAAGAATTATAGGTAAATTGTAGCTTGGTCCCGGAGCCATTAGGTGACTCCAGAGGTTTGAAAAGAGAAGAATTAGCGTATATATGGTCCTGGGCTGTCTGAGTTGGGGCCACAGCTGCTGCAAGTACTGGCTCTTGGTGAAAAGAAATAAGATCATCAGCGGGTGACCATAATCCAAAGTCCCCAGTGTTAGACATTGAATTTTCACCATTTTCAGGTGGGGGAGGAGTAGCTGAAAGGAGAGGCTGATCAGATTACGAAGGCCGTGTGGGAGAGGAAGGTTGAGGAGGAGGTGGAGGGTTGTCAGTTCAGAAAACTGGTAACTATAGGGGGTCACAGGATTGGTATGTCATCAAGATGGCTCGTACCAAGGCCCAATCACCCCAAATGGTGAGAGGAACATAATTCCCTGTGGAGACCGGTTCCCTGAACATTGCAGCAACACGATCCCATACTTCTACATCTAAGGTTCCTTTTTCAGGAAACCAAGGACAGTATTGTTCCACTGTTCTGAATAGAGTGACCATATTTTCCATGGGCACTCGAACACCACCCTGTTTTAACAGGAGTTTAATATAGCAGAGATAAGCATGATGTTTGGACTCTGCATGACCCATAGTTAACCCAGACCATATACAGACTACTCATCAGTCGTCAGGGAGTCGAACACACATTTCTGTGAACCAAGCTGATGTTGTTTCACTGCATCTGCCAAAGGGAATCAGGTTCCCACATGCACTTAGGAAAAAACAAAGACCACGTTGGCATGCCAGATATCGGGGGGAACCCCACCCCCGATATTTATCATGGGTTCTTTTCTATTTCCTAGGTGTCTCAGCTGGTTTGAGAAATAAAGGGAAAGAGCACAAGAGAGAGAAATTTAAAGCTGGGTTTCTGGGGGAGACATCACATGTCGGCAGGATCCGTGATGTTCCCCAAGCCGTAAAACCAGCAAGTTTTTATCAGTGATTTTCAAAAGGGAAGGGAGTGCACGAATAGGGTGTGGGTCACAGAGATCTCATACTTCACAAGGTAATAAAATATCACAAGGCAAATGGAGACAGGGTGAGATCACAGGACCACTGGATGATGTGAAATTAAAATTGCTAATGAAGTTTCAGGCACACATTGTCATTGATAACATCTTATCAGGAAACAGGGTTTGAGAGCAGACAACCTGTCTGACCAAAATTTATTAGGCAGGAATTGTCGTGGTCCTAATAAGCCTGGGAGCGCTACAGGAGACCGGGGTTTATTTCATCCCTTTGACTTCAACCATAAAAGACGGCATGCCTTGAGGGGGCCATTCATAGGCCTACCCTCAGGGCACATTCTCTTTCTCAGGGATGTTCCTTACTGAGAAAAAGAATTCAGCAATATTTCTCCTATTTGCTTTTGAAAGAGGAGAAATATGGCTCTGTTCCATCTGGCTCACTGGTGGCCAGAAGTCCTATCTCTGATGTTCCCTGAACATTGCTGTTATCCTGTTCTTCTTTCAAGATGCCCAGATTTCATATTGTTCAAACGCACA